ACTCTTCACGGTGGCCAATTTACAATATTAATTCAGTTGATAAAACCAAATTATGTTGGAATTAAACGAACAGTTTTCATATTTTTTTACTTGAGTTAAGACAACCTCTAGTTATGGGTTGAAATTTTTAAAGTTTTAAAACTTTGAAAGATAATACTTACATCTTTTATTATGTTTTTGATTCAGCGTTGAACCATAAACATAATAAACAGAAAGCTTACCCATACCCTCCCTCACTCCGCTGGGATTTTCAACGAAAGTGAGCAGTAAATTCTGCGGCGTCGACTTTAGTGAATTTTTATCTTTTTGAAAGATCAAAAATCAGCAAAATCTGCAGCAAAATAGAACTTACAAAGTTTTCATGTTACATGATCTGCACTCTGTTCAGGCGAATCAATTTCACTACACGACTGAAATTCAGTTTCACATTTGAATCTAGATTGATTAGCTTCCCTAGTTTTGAAATTGATCGCGTCAATATGCTGGAACCCATTATCAGAGTACGAAGGTTAAAGTTGAAGATTAATTTTCATGCGTCAGCAACTTGTTTAAAAGACCTTCCAAGAGGTCATCTTTAGAGACTTCAACCGACCAATAATAAGGTATAAAGGGGGTAAGTTTGCGTCGATGGGAGAGAATAATGAAATAATTTCGAATCATTAACTGAGTCATGCGCTCTGACGAAGGGCAAACGCTCGAAACGTCTGCGTTAAAACTCTTCACGGTGGCCAATTTACGTTATCAACTCAGTTGATAATGCTTAATTACCCAACAATAAGGTAGTTACTGCCTTTCATCCAAGCCAGAGAAACACTTTTTGCGCAGATAAATTGCATAGTTGAAGAAGAGTGAATTGAAACTACGAACAGAATTGCAAAATATCTTGCTGTGCGGCAAGAAAAATATACCGAGAGAACCAAATCAAATCTATTTTTCCTTCTCTCTCTCTTCTTTTCTAAAGTTGCACGAACGCAAACCTCTTCATATACCCACGTGGAGTCTGAAAAATGACGATATGTTAGACTTGCACTGAAAATTCGCTAAAGTAATAAAAAATATTTCCTGAAAATGAACGAGATACAAGGGAAGTACTATGCTATAACAAGTGGTTCTGAGAGAAGTTACATAAAAATTTTGATGCCATTTCCGCAATTCCGAATGGAAATAAAATAAAAAGAACAGCGTTTGCAGTTTTCGTTAAGCTCCGAATAATGAAATTTACTTAAATCTCCAAAATACCTTAAGCAGCATATGGAAAAAATGCTCTGACTTAGAAAAAGCCAGCATAACCCATAACAATTGTCAAATATGCAGTTGAATCATGTTTCGTTGTCTTCATATTTGACGTCTTATCCTCAAATTGAATTTCTTTTGTTAAGCGGGGCTCTTTGAGAACTGGAGAAGGCATTTAATTATTGCTTAACGTTTTGCTATTGATGTAGATGTTTGGTACCAACGTGGTCAAAGAGTAAAAAGTGATAGCACTATGTAGCCTACCTAAGGATATCATTGAATAGTTTATGAAACCATTAAATGAGGAAAAACGAGAACGTAAATGAATGAATTAATAAAATTCTCAGGTGAAATTTAAAATTTTTCTAAAAATAGAAAATAAAGGGGTTTTTCTCTTTCAACTGATTATGATTAAGAATAGTGAAGATCTCCTACTGAGTGCATTATCAAGAACTTGCTTCAAAGTTGTGAAGCGACCGTTATATTGAAGTGTAAATACTTTTTCGGCTATTAACCTATCTGAGGTAAAATTAAAAAATGAGTGAATAAATTACTGTTGTAGGAAATCTCTTTACTGTCGGTTCGATGGTCAATTTAAATCTCTTACATCGTAAAAACGTCCGATGAAGAAAACCCCGTCTTCTGTTGAGTTTCTTTTCTTTCGTTTTCACGGCTTATTGCATGTTTTGACAATCTATCAATGTCTTAAATCATAAGAACAAATAACTGTAATTAAAAATTCCTAACCTGATCAGGAGATTTCACCTGACAACGTTATCTTTGGCTGAATTTTCACATAATTTGCGCTCAGATTGATAAAAAAAGGTCCAATCATTTCGAATCGACTGAACGACAGGACAACAAATTGAGAACATTTCCTCATTTTAAATCCAAGAAATAACTTCAATTTTGGGTTATTGCAGCGCCATTAAACAAATTTTCCCTTTTAAACGTTAAGGAAACGAAGCTGAGGTTTAAATACAGATATATAAACGTAAATAATGAGCGATAACAAAGATTTGAGGTATAACTGTATTCTACAACCAAGATTCAAAGAATACTGAAATTCGACGAGCACATCGCGCTAACACTCAACACGGCTACAGCTCTTGTGAATTAATCAGGTAAAATAAGCGGGTTTTGACGGTTGAATCCTATTAGGCACCCGACATATAAAGGGTGTACTTATATTTATATATGTACTTCTGTTCCTTGAATTACTTACCTCTTGGCAAACTACTCTCAGTTTCTTTGCAGATGATATCAACTGTGCTGCTTTGTTATTTCCCCACAAATAATTACTTTTGTAGACGGCGATAGGTTATGCTTTTTTAACTCTGTGAAATTTCATTTAATATACGTTAGCCTTGATAAGTGGTCGAACTATTAAGCTAGCGAAAGGCGCAGTATCAATTTTTAATACGCCTTCTATCCGTTTACGATCTCATATTCCATTTAATGGCGAGTGCTTCTTTTCCACCAATCAGCTCAACTGTAGTTATGTTAATTCCAAGCGTTTTTTTCAGAAAAAGACAAAAGAGAGCAAATACTTAAATGATCCTGGCGTCTTAGTGCGTTCACAACCTGCCACATCTTTAAGTATCTCCCAAGAGCTAGACAGAAGTGAGGGAAAGGATAACAAATATTTCATGTGATCCATTTTTAATGTTATTCTATCTTACTTGATTATTTTCAACGTTTCGATAAAAGCAATTGAATTTGTTTTTTGTTACTCTATAAATGTTAAAAAATATCAAGAGATTTGTTTTCTTACCAGAATAAAATATCCCATTTCCGAAAAAAAAGTCGCTTCAATATATCACGGGATTATTTCGCGCAATTCAGTGGCATCTTAACCTGTCTCAGAAAGCACTTAGCATGGGCACTTTTATGAACATTAACGAGGAGAATTTCCACGCCTTTTTTTTTATTCGCTGCAAATGTTAATGGACAAGAGAAGGCACTATTACCTTTGAATATGAAAATTGAAAAAAAATGAAGACAGCGTTGCATTAGAATTTTCTAGAAATACTTTAATCCATGGAAAAGGAGACCCATTTCAAAATAGTCACGAAAAGAAAACTTTTCCTTGGAGTTGCTTTTCAAGCGTTACTTGAAAAAAGCATCAAAAAAGCTGTTATTTAACATGGCAAATGTTTGTTAACCCGTTGCGTTATGCACACCTCAGTAGTGAACAAAAAGTACTTTCAGTACAAATGTAAAAAGAGATGACCTTACACTGCGTCAGTAAACATGTATTTTTGTTCTCACACCTTGTACCGTTCTTCGCCTCGCTTCAGCAATCAAGAATCACTCCCAGCAGCACTTACTCAAACTCCCTGAAGCTGCTATAAAAGCATCTTTAATTTCGCAATTAGATGAAGAGTTAGAAGCTCCAGGAGAGCTCCATTCATAAACCTTTGTTCACTTAAACAAAGCTGAATTTGAATCAAATGATGCGCTGATGTCTTTACACTGACGGTAAAGGAAAACAGTTACGAGTGTGACGTTCAGATATACTCATGCTTGGTTCATTGTGCGTCATAACATCTCGCTTGCGAGTCGCACTTCATCCATTCAGAAACCATTCCTTTTATGACCCAACTTAGCTTTAGTAAAGTTAAAAGTAGGAAGTAAAGACTACTAAATGCTCCCTTTTTTCAGCCAAGGTCATATTACACCCACTTGAAAGGGTGGTAATTGCAAGCTTCAATCACTTCAAAGCCGCTCTATTTATGATACTCGCTTCCTGGATTCATATTTTTGCTATATTTAGTGTTCTTTTCATTCTTTTTTATTTACGTAGTCCTTTTCTTTCGGTTATTTATTTGAAGCCGAAGTTTCTGGCAATCAAAAGGCGTGATTTCTTTCGAAAAGTGACAAGCGTCTGACGTTTGCACAAAAATAACTTACTAGTTTCAAAAAAATCCCCTGCCCACGGTTGGACACTTCAACCGTGGGCAAGGGAAAGTGTGTTTATCCTACGGCGCTTGTAAGCGAAGGTTCAAAACTTAGAATAATTGCAGGTTAACGCACTCAGCGAGTGAATTATCGGGATTTACCTGCACGAGTTCACTAACAATAAACGAGGCTTTACCGAATGCGGTATTGAAAATTTCGAGTTCATTATTTGTGAATGAGTACAGGTAAATCCCAATAACTCACGAGCAATGAGTGCGTAGACATTTTTATTATCCAAATTCAATACCCTGCACAAACAAACACTGTACTGAAACCTGTTGACAAAGCGCAAATACACCTCAACTAGCTTGAATGAAAAATTTAAAATTAAAATAACCTTACCTTTCTGAACAGATATTTCCCAAGCAGTTGCCCTCTTGGCGTTTTTAGGAATTGCATCATCAATATGGGAATCAATGTCTGCATCTGACAAATCGTCAAACTTTAGATCAGCCGAAGCCATGATGTAATGACAGTGGTGTGATGAATTTACACCACGGCTAGTACACCACGAGAATGACGTCAAGGACGTTGTTTCGTCACAACCCAGTATCACATAGTACAAATCAGGCGATCAAAAATCGGAAATCGTACAGTGTGTGAAAGTTGAATGATAAAAAGTAATATTCATCGGCTATTTCATGCTTATGCCCACCGAAAAAAAAGAAAACTGTTGTTTTAGAAGTGAATGAAAAGACAGATTGGTATGAGAAGACCCCATTACCAAGAAAGTGGGAAGCCAAAAGGAACAACGAAGTGAAAATGAAGACGACAAAGAGTTATGAAAAACTGAAGAAGCAATTTTAATCAGTATTAGGAAGGAAAGAAAACAGTTATTTACAAATGAATACAGTTTTACGTAAACAATCTTACTTATGTACTTAAGTTAACAAATAGCGGGATTAGAGCTACATAACCCACGATTGGCGCACCAATTTTTACCCAGAAAATTGATGCTCTTAAAGCAGAAAGAAGAAATAAAAAGAAATAAAATTTGGTTTACGCATTACCAAAATTCTTCAGGCTGCACTTGACGTTACTCAATACCCATTCAAAGTTGGATCTGAATAACTTATTGCCCTACTTCACGGTGAGCAATAGGCTGGTGCTTTAGAAAACCTCTTCCTTGACAGCTCACACAAAACCTCATCAGATCTGAAGAGTGTTGTACACCTATTTCACGGAGACCTTTATTCCCTACTGGTTGCCTCGCTTGAGATTGTGGTTGTGTATCCTTAAAGCAACCATATCACCGAAAATGTAAACTATTCTGGTAACTTGTCTGAATCAATCCCACCTTGGTAAAAAGTTAGCTTCATAGGGGTGGCTTCTATAGTAAATTGCTCTCATTCGGATACCAAATAGGGAACAACTCGTGACAATTAACAACTCGAGATTCGCTAAAGGTTAAGATCCGATCTTTTCACAGTGCGTGCATGTAATGTTTATCTTAAAACTTGCTTCACAAAGGTATCAGCCAGTTTAAAGAACTTCTGTTCAGGTGCTTCGGTGAAAGCCAGAGCCTTAGTCGGTGTCCTCCTTGCTGCGCTGCTGGGACTGGTCTGAGTGCCCGCTGGTGATGGTGGAAGACCACGTCTGGCAAAGTGACGGAAAAGACCTCCAAGAAAATTACCCTACAAACAACAATCAATGTAAAAAGGTCAGACGGTTAAAACTGTTTATTGACCCTCTGAGACGACTGGCCAGGAAACTGTTTAGTGTAGGGGCTGTCGGGAAATTTCTCCCCTGGCACTCTTCACGCGACAAGGTCAGAGAATTAAAACCTTTTTCTGAACCTGTGAGAAGAATGGACTGGAACCTGTTTAGTGTAAGGGCTGTCGAGCTTTTTTTCCCTGGAATGATATGAGGATGTAGAGGTGAGGGATGAAAATAGTACTAGATTTAGTGTTGAATCGAAAAAATGGTAAACAGAAAAGCGGAAACGCAAAGCACAATATTGTCAAGGGCTCTGCTCAAAGTAGAAACCAACACTCTAAGTTCAAATCACTCTGCCCCAGATCTTTCAAAAGGGGTGAACCAGTATCGCCTCACAAACCATTTTTTTACGGCGTTAGAAACAACGACGAACCAAATTTATTTATTTGCAATATTTCGATAGGGTAACTCAGTTCAGCTTTAAAGCTTGAATTGGGGCCTGGATAAACGGTACCAAGGCCAGACCACAACACCGTGAGCAACGCTCCCTACTCTGCAAGAAATGAGCGGGTTTTTTAACGTTCCCCAACCAACCAACCCAGATATAAGGCAGGAGACAGCGGCCAACAGTATCTCATCCTAATCCTAAATTATTGGAACGTCTGATCATTTGCAGATGTCATAGTAAAGACAGCACAACTTACCAGTTCACTACCAAGCTCTCTCTTTAGAAATTGCTTGACCCGCAGGTCCAGTCCGGGATCCCGCAAGTATCGACAAGCCTGAGATAGAGCGATGATCAACGCATTCTCCATAGTGAACATCAGAAGAGATCTACAAACAAAGATAGTTCCAGAAGATTCGAGTTGGAAGCAACAAAGAATTTTATTTTCTTAAATACAATTGCAAGTAAAATAGATACACAAACTTCGATATCGTACCTTGCAACACTGTGCAAGTAGCATATTACGTAAAAACCAATCAAAACGCGTGTAAAATTCAGCTTATCATATAAACTCCCATAAACAATAGATATTGACCAATTAGCGCGCAAGAACATGACAACATGAAAGGAAATAACAGATGGAGAGCCACTCGTAACTTCCTGAAATAAAAGGCAAGTCTCTCTTCAGACAAGGAGCTACTGCAAGCAACCAAAAATTATTCAGCAAACTGTACGTCTCACCTCGGTAATGACTCCGACAGAGTTCGGACTGGTGATTTCACGGGTGACTTCAGGTCAGCCTTCCAAGGCAAAAAAAGGGTCAATAGTCAGAGTGATACAGGTATATCTGAGAAGTGTACGACATATAACTGTGAAAAATTACAACAGCGAAAAAGGTTATGCGTCGCACCAGAGATAAATAACTACACAACTGATGTAAATGAGTATAAAATTTATACTTGCATTCATTGCACAGTAAGTAAACATACATTTCACGACGAAAAAAAAAAGTTCCTAGAGAGTGCCAGACACGTATAGTTTTGAAAAAAACATAGAAAACTCACTGGGCCAAGATTGGAGAGGGCCATATTGAGGCAAGCCAAGAGAGTACCAAACGACAACGGCTCTTCAGTGTCCACAGTCGGGGAACTGAACCCGAGAGAAAGCAGCGGGGGGAATTCCTCAAGATCCATACCCTGAAAAATAGCACAAATATAAGTGGTTAAATACTTTGTCGAACTTTCAAGCTTATAAACAATTTGAACAACCCACATCGCTTTCCTACCTGATCTATGAGAATACCACAGATGTCCGGAGTAAATTGCCGCAGCATCGCCAGTGAGTTGCAGAGAATCTTCAACAACCTGATGATTATGAAAGAAACAACTATTAATCAAATTTTTAGTCGACATTTAATGTCCAAATGGGGTAATGCGGCCATGGTAGGTTATTTACTTCATACAGTATCGTATAATCATAGTGCTAAATTCTATATGCAACATTGAGGAAATAAGAATGCAGTTTCTTTTCTTCGCGATGCAAATAACAACGAAAGAAATTTCATAAATAAGCTTAAGATTTAAGACATATTTCCAAAAACTTCAACCACCTTGTAAGTGTTGTCACAAAAGAATAAGTCGTCTCAGTACAAAGCATGCATTGATCAGACCCTTTCTTCGTGCATTATCCGCAATCTTCAGCCCTAACTTTTAAAGCATCTACGTTATCTTAACTCAAAGCATGCTTACTGTGACTGAGTTTGAGAGACTAGAGGGCTGTTTCTAAAAGAGTCATCATCTGCGTATGAGTATGTTCTGAGCATTTCTCTGGAGAAGGTTTGGCTCAGCGAGAGCTGCACATCTGATGTCGAGGCTTTCCCGTGTGCACTTGAGCTTGCACGCCCTTTGGACACCTAATGTAAGCAAACGTCGACAATTTTCAAATTCCATATATGATACGTTTAAAATATATTGCAGCACATTGTGCTAAGTTCGTCACCCTGCCAGTGTCAGGAAGAGATTCCACTACAGGAAGTCTATCGTTATTCAAAGCCATGTAAAATTGACCACCTTTCGTTTAAAATCACCAAATTAGCATTCGCGTGCAGCAGAGGGAATAATATATTAATTATGATAAACCGGCTTAAGATTTTAAGCAAAGGAAGACATTTTTCGTTTACCTCAAGCAAATGAGCAAGCAATCTTGGGTGAGTCAGCAGAGCTATGCAACTTTGGCAAAGAACACCAATACGGCTCTGAAAGGAAAATTGTCATTTCGCTGAAACAGAAGTTGATGTTAACAAACCTCTTTCTTACGGACTTTAAGACTATCAGATATCAATTCAAACGGTCAGGACCCACACTCCTAGTAACAGACTTCAATTTAGTGATTCTACTGGTTCCGTCGCTTCAAGCACTGTAAAAAACCATTAATGTATTGATAGTTACCTGAAGTAGTATTAACACATCTGGCAGAGTGAATCTCCATTCGTGAAAAAAATGAGCAAGTTCCAGTAAGAAAGCAGTCACTTCCTCTGCTTCCGCCAAAACGTCTGAAGACTGAGACCGGCTCACAGAGTTCAGGGCCTGAGAGATACGAGTCAGTGAATACAAATGACATCAGTTGAGAACTCTCTAGATTTTCCAGGACCCGCGCGAACCTGGAAATACTTGTGGAAAAAAGATATAATTAGTTGGAAAAAAGTTTACGAAGGGATTACGTCAAGGAAAAGGGCAAACATAGCCATAGTTGATCCAAAATAAGTTAGCTGATGGCCGTCTCCCAGGTGTCTTTTATGACCATGTCAAGGAATGCAAATCATTTTGAATAAATTTGTATTAGGCCACGGTTAATGAGGCCAGTTGCCATCTTATACCCGACGAATTAATAAAGCGACAAGATCAGTTACCAGTTTCTTTCAAGCATTTCATTAGGATAACTCCGTTTCAAATACGCTCTTGGTAATATGTGTTGAATGTAAATAAAACAATATATATATTTTTTTTAAAGTGTGTGAACAGGAATAGGAGGCAAGTTGAAAGCTATTCCGAATAAAGTCTATGAGAATGTGACATTGAATGGCAAGACAATGAGTAGCGACGCAATTCTTCCTCATGGTCGAAATAGCCTTTGTATCTACCGAGCAAATATAAGTGAATCGTGAAATATTTCCTGGTATATTACTGTCACACATTGGATAACTTGTACACATTGTAATAATTTAGTGCAGATTGTCCTGGCTCTCTATCCTTTCCACCCCCAGTACTTATCATCTACCTTGTCTAAGTTCACCTCAGTCAGTTGCTGTCCTTCAACTTACAGAAAACACTGTGCTTCATAATGAAAGGACACAAGTTTTGTAACCATTTAAACCCAAATATGAGTATCTACATTCTCCATACCGTTCTCTAAACTGTTCCTAACGCGCTGACAAGGAGAATTTGTTCGACAATGGAGAGCTTCTTCAGTTAGAGATCATTTCATTTATTCTCATAACCTTAATATGTGATTCAAAGGTGATATTGTACAGAGAAATTAGAGGCTAGTTACTAAGGGGTCAAAGGATGAAATCTCTACAGTTATATCAAATCAGCTTTCTTGAAACAAAAACCAGACATAGCCCAACTAACAACATGTACATAAAATCGAAATACATTTTTGTTGACCTCTGCGAGTCTTTCTCTGTGTACTCCTGCAAAGTCTAGTGCATCTTTGAGAAAACCATGTCTGAGTGTGCGCAGCATGGACGCCATCACAGCAAGGGAAAGCTGCCACACTTTATCCCAGCTTCGTTGGCTACTTTTGTCCGAGTTGTGAGAGGATACCTGAGACTGGGGACCAGATTTGGGCCGAGAAGCCTGCGAGAGAGAAAGTAACGATGAAGTGAGGTCTTCAAGTGCGTCGTGGTAATATAAGAACGCCGATTTCAAATTCTAGTACACACAAAGTAAAGCCGGGAATATGTGAACAAATATCTAAGAGTGAGGTTTTGGATGGGAGCGCGAACGGATTTTCAATTTCATGTTAGATATACCACGCAATTCAAATGGCACTGAAAAACAAACAAACAACAAGGGCAGGGTTTGAAACACTATTTAAAGTGTAAACCCGTTGTTCGATTGAAATGAAAATCATGTCCAGTCTTGAATCCGTCACAGGTAGACGATGACTACCAGTCACAAGGGACTATAATTATAACCTTCCCTTTCTCTGTCAGTCTACTTGATATTCGTGGCTAACATGGATATATACAAGAAGAGTCACGTCTGTGTAATACGCGTTCAAAGAGAGGAGTAAAAAGAGCTGGACGGAAGAAATAATCACCTGTGGTGTGCCTTCAGAGTAAGTCAGCGATGCCAATCCCAGGCAAAGTGGTTGGGATATACTGTTCATAGCCAGGGCCTCAGCACTCTGAAAAATAAGCAAGAAGTAAGAACGAAAGGTTACAATGGCTCACACTACTCTGTGACGAGAGATCGGGCAATTTCACAATTGCGTTTACAAATCAAGAATTTGAAACAACATACAAAACATGTGATCAAAAAGTGCAGTGACGCAAATGTGTTGAGATAACACAGACACATTTCATACCATTGGTATTCTTGACAGCGACAGGAACAAGTGAAGAATGGCTTCGGTGAATTCTACTTTCTCGTGCGTCTGAACAAGAAAAAATATTAGCCGTAATGTTGATGTGATTACATTAAGTTCATCGTGAACGCTGTAAAAATATCATGCAAAAGTTATGCTGATTGGTTTCAAAGGTTTCACAGTACCTTAATACACACATCCAGGGCCTGAACCAAAGACGCAAACAGCGCATGCTCTCTCAACACAGGAAGCCACTGACCAGGGTTGGCGAGCAGAATGTTCAGAATTTCATCGATGATGAACACAGACAGTTCAAGAACCTACAAAACATAACGCGAAAAATGCGATATATTACTCAAACAGAATAAAACATACGTAACGTTTTTACTTTTTCAAACGGATGACTCTGGTAAGCAGTACGAGAGGACTTATCAAAAGAGTGGAAACATACGTCCAGGCAGTTTAATATGTCAGCATACCCTGTCTTGTTGCTTCTGTTCGCTCGAGAATCTTCCTCTTAAGTATTCCAGTGGTTCACAAGCCAGCGGTAAAAGAACCAACGCATGACTGCTCAGTAACGTGTCTAAATACAACAGGCAAATTAATACGGTCATTTGAACTGAGTAACCATGGCCTCTACTGTGCCCAATTGTGGTACATGGGTATTGCAGCTGTAAGCCGACACATGACCTTAAAATTTACAACGAATGGAAAATTGTGAGCAAGCACTAACAACAGGTGATTACCAATAGTCTTTTCTCGGAAGATCTCTACTCAGGAGAGAAAAGAATACAGCTTCTCAGGAAAAGAAGCCTTCCCAATATCCAAACAGTAAAAAAAAAATGCTCAAACTTTACAGCGTCCGCGAGACACGATCGCTCATGCGATCCACAGGGCACAAGGGACAAGGGGGGGGGGAAGAAACACTCACCGGATAAGTTTTCAGTCCTGGCGTGCTGAAGCAGAACTGAGAAGGACGAGAACATGGCCACACGGATATGGACAAATAACTGTGTGTCATTCTTGTGCGCAGTGTCAATGACATCCACCAAGCACTGGAACACTGGATTGGGATCCCGAAGACAGCTGTGAGACAAAGTCTTTCAGAAATTGACAGACGACTCTACTTACACAGATGTTTCAAATTTCCATCTCATTAATCCTTCCAAGGAGAAACTTGCATGCTCACAAGTTAAAATGCAACCAATGACGTTACTATGAATTCACTCAGAGGAGAGGGGGGACCAAATCTCAAGTGGACAATAAGCCAGAAGCAACAGTTTTGGGTTCAAGTTCCCTCTAGAACTCTGTTCAAGCTCTAAAAACCGAAGCAACAGGATTGCTTGTAGGCAAAAAGGTAAGGCTTATGTGACAAAAGCCCTTACAACATTCCATAGCATAAACAAATCTATAAGAAAGGATTACCTCTTCCACCTCTTGAGCAGCATCAGATAAAGACTACTCAGTTCAACAGACGCATTTATACTCTCTACGGCTACAACTCTGGAAACCTGCAAGAAAGAGAGTCAAATGTTAGTATGCAGCGTAGATACTCAAAGGAAAACCACGATTCGAGTGGGATTTAACACACAGCAACCTCTAACCAGCTTGTAAACCACGACTATACATATTGTGCCGAGGAAACGCGTAAAAAACGTTCCATTTTGACTCGTTACTAAATGAACCGTTCCCCTTTCCACGTTGGCTATTTCTAGAATGCAAACTAAATATTTGGAGACAAGGTAACCAAGTGTTTCTAGATTTGCTGTTTAACAGGCCAAAACATGATGTATTTGCATTTGAACTCTGCCACCTGATCGCGATATGGTACTTTTAGACACAAAACCTGAGACTTGAGCGCCTGAAGAGTATCCTCCAAGATTAATCTTCTTCGACGAGTATCGTTTAGACCAAATATCTCATTCTGAAAAGGCATATGACAAAGTTAACAAAACAAAATGTGATACCTGTGTTCCGATCCCAGAAGAGAAAAATACTTTAGCAAGTTTATTTTTTTTGAAATTATCTATTTCAAATAAGTGAGCACCTTTATACCGTTATAAGAAAATAAGAAAGCAGTTCTGGCGATAACAAAGCCACAAGCACGTCCTCAAACAAACCAAAGAAATCCAGGATACGTTTTGTGAATTAATGTAGCAGTTCTTTGGTATAATTTTTTTGTCACTCTATAAATCTTACATAAGCCAATCTTTCTCGGTCAAGATAGTTGGATCTTGTTTCTACCATGTTTAACCAACTACTATCACGGAGTCGAGGGCCATAAAACCCCAATAACCAACCTTCTTGACCTCACGCTTAGTCGGTGGCGCAAATGTCTAATGAACCCTCACTCAGGTCAACTTAGAACAAAGAAGATTCCGCCCTAACAACAAATTGTAAGCCTTATGAACAGAGACACCTGTTTATTAGCTCAGGCAGCCATAACAAAAATTTATCAGCTAGAATTAACTCAAGAACGTTTCTAGTACCTGAAAAGAAGAACAAACGACTAAATATGTTCTCCAGGCTTTGAGCAGTTTGAGTTTTTCTTCTTCAAATTGTTTTTCTTGATCATCGTCCATAGATTGATTCAAAGACTTGAGGAACTGCAACAGAAAATTCAAGTGTGACACCATGATTAGTTCGTAGACTCAAAAGCTGGTGTAGAATTATGCACTGTCGACTTGGAGAAATTCAAGATGATATTTTGGAATATTCTGCCAAGAGTTTCCTCTTTACTATAATTTCTTCTACTTATAAATTCTTGAATTCCCCGACCTTACGCTTTTCTTGCATACAATTGTTTGCTTAAAACCAAAAATGGCCTCCGAAGGTTAAAAAAGACCACCCAGCAATTGCTAGCAATTACCATGCTGAAGTTATCACTCCTTTTTCGTTCGAGTAATTCTATCATTAGTAAATGACATCTAATAATCTTCTAATCAACAGATTTTTAGAAACGGATTTTACCATAAAAAGTTAACGTTAAAAAGCAACGACCTTTCGACCGCTCTACGATTATTGTCAACTTGAAGGATAAAATTTTTTGTTTATCATGCGCTTATATAATTAATTGTAAAAATGCTAGTGAGATACTGACTTAAACTCTAAAATATTTTCATAGAAACAAACGAATGTTTCTTTCAAGATTTTGAAGAAATGTCAGAGTAAACTGGACTGTTTGATCTTTGAAATGCTTTTTATTCGCGAACTTGAACCAAAACTGAACAAACAGAGTGATTCGATCCGTGCTAAAGTATTTAACTATCCATTCACTTTTAATTTTGTTTCTTTCGCCTCAGCGTTTCTTTTATTATTCTTCCGAAATTTTCTCGTATTGCTTCTATGAAAATATTTTAGAATTTAGTCAGTATTTCATTAGCATTTTTACAATTGATTATATAAGCGCATGACAAAAAAATTTTATCCTTCAACTTGAAAATGACCGTTGAGCGATCGAAACGTCGTTGCTTTTTAACGTTAATTTTCATGATAGTCATCGTCCCAATTTATTGCGAACAATAAATCTACAACTGTTATTATACGAAAAGATCTCCTTACACTTAATTATGCATCAATCAAGTTGACTTGAATTGTTAGGAAACATAATTCATTCTGGATTGGTCTCGATTTGATTACTTCCGCTACCTCATCACCCCAGGCTACAATCGGTCACGCAAACTAAGTGCATGGCAACTGAGCTCCATACCGCTGATCAGAGTGACACGCAAATTTCTCATAATCTTAAGTAGCGACACGCAGTTTCTATTTTATTTTAGCGTTTTGCTTGACTGTTTCGATTTGTACTACCAAGATCAGAAGTCATGTTCACCGTCGAGAAAAACTGGCAAACAACAAGACCAACCATCAAAGAAAGAACAACGTTCATGCTCAACAATGAACTCTTCAGCGATGTCAAGTTCGTTGTTCGCAAGATGCATGGCGAAAGTGAGAGCCAACAACTGATTCCAGCTCACAAGTTTGTGCTCTCGATTGGCAGCCCTGTCTTTGAAGCCATGTTTTATGGTGAGCTGGCCGAGACTAAAGACTCAATTGAAATGCCTGACGCCGAGTACGAGAGTCTCTTGGAGTTTTTTCGTTTCATGTACAGCGATGAAGTGAATTTGAGCGGAAGTAATGTTATGGGAGTGTTGTATTTGGCGAAGAAATACATAGTCCCATCACTCGTTGATAAATGCTCGGAGTATTTGCTAGATAACTTGGAGCCATCGAATGTTTTCAGCATCCTGCCATCTGCTGAGAAATACGAAGAGAGAAACCTAGTGGATCGATGCTGGAAAGTGATTGATCAACAGACAGAGCTAGCCGTGAAATCTGATGGATTTGGTGAAATCGAGAGGTCACTACTTGAAAAAGTTGTCAAAAGAGACACACTGACAATTGAAGAGATTGAGTTGTTTAAAGCTGTTGACCTGTGGGTTACGAAGGAATGTGAACGACAACGTTTAACCGCTGATGGCTCAGTGAAAAGAGGGATGCTTGGCGAGGAGATAGTCAAAGCCATACGCTTTCCAACGATGAAACAGGAAGATTTTTCCACTGTTGTGTTGGATTCTGACCTTCTAAAAAAAGCGGAGATCAAAAATATCATCAAACGCCTAAGTTCAGTTTCGACGTCTTCGACTATTTTTCCTGACACAAAACGATATGGCACCAAGATATCGAGTGTTTTCGAAAAATGTTGCCGGCTGGGTTTAATTTCTTCTTTTTTTTGGTCTAATAGTAATGGTCGTAAGGACTATATCGATTTCTCGGTCGATAAAGACATAGCTCTACACGGATTGTGCTTCTTTGGTCAGAATGGGCAATCTCATTCGGTAACTTTGGAGCTAGTAGACACAAACACCAAAAAAGCGTTAAAATCTTTGACTGGAACATTTTCCTCAGTGAAGTTAGATTGCGAAGAATACAGCTATAACGGTTTTGAGGTGCCTCTTGAAGCAATTTTATTGAAAAAGAACACAAGATACGGTATAAGGGCTTTCATAACAGGTTCTAGTTCGCAGATTGGGATGAACTATATCAACCCCGTTCAATGTTCGGGAGTAACATTTACATTTTTTCAAAGTGAGGAACCAGGATCTAGAACAGACGTTGTACATGGGCAATTTCCGATACTGCTGTTTTCTCTTTAGAGCATCGCGTAACTTTGCCGACTACTAACAGCGCAAGCTACTGAACTGATAGTGCTTCAGTAAGCACATACATTAGGGAGAAGTAATTTGCTATAAAATCCTTCCAACTGAAAAACAGCTTTTGGCGCAATGTTGGCTGGCAACTTTCAGGTCTACGGTTAACTAAGCTATAATAGCCGATTCCTATGTTATTCCTGTGTCCTCTGAAAAAAAGTGCTTGTGGAACATAGATTTAGCACTCTGATTGCGTTGCATTCTTTAAAAATCAAAGTAATTCTCACCTGACCCCAGTACTGATATCTGTTCTCCGAACAGAAAGCTTTCATGGATGTCTTCAGACTGTCGTCAATTTGACCTCTAACAAAGTGATATTTACAAGGCTGTTAGTCATCATTGAAGCCCTCTGCAATAGATTATTTATAGCCTAGAGCGCTAGGAAAAAGGGGAAAAAAGCCAGAAAAGAAGTAAAAACTATTCGAATATCAAAATATAACTCAAAAGCTCCTGATCAGCGGTCCTTAGTCAAGATAACACTTAATATTTAACAAGTTCATCCTTGAATATGACCAAATGTAATAATAACATTGGGCGGACATTACATGACACACGGTCTATAAGCTCCTTGACACATGATTTTAACCTACGATGATGTTAAGTTTTTGAAGGAGGGAGCTGGAAATTTACAGGAAAGTTAAGTATTTCACGAGGCCAAGAAAACCCGCAAACAATATATTGCGAATAATGGATGAAGACTACACTCACAGTATACACATATAAAATTACCTTGAGACATAGTAAGCTTCTAATGCAATTATCTGCATGGCATAACAGCTTATTTCCATGTGATATCTGTAATCCTTTTCAATACAAACAACAAAATGAACGAAAGAAAAAACAAGCTGGATGGTTGAACAATACATAAGCAAGGAAAATAAATTAAACACAAAATTAATTGAAAATTTATATTTTATTTCAACCATGATTTTTTTTTCTTATCTTTTTGGAAGAAAATAAGAGAAAATGCGATTGTTCCTGTAGCCTTTTTTTTTTATATCCTTTAACTACAATAATTATCAGCAAAGGTAAAAAATACCATTTATTTTGTAAGATACTGTACACGTAAGAAATATATTCCCAAATGTAAGAAAAACAATTCTTTGTTTTCCACAACAGCACTGATTAATAAGTCTGTTGCCTAAAATATATTTTTGTCAAACAGCTTTTGCCTACAGTCAGTATTTACCTCGTCTACATGTGATTCTATTCCTGTTATTAATGGCCGAGTTAACTTCTCCCAAAACTTTGGACTGTTAGAGAGGCAAAGAAGTCTACATTAGGTACAAAAGTATTTGTTTTTATGCGAAGAAAACAATGCATTTCATATCAGCTGATAAAAGCCAACATCTCAGAAGAACAAATCAACTCTTTTCCACCGTCTTACTGTATTGCTAATGCGCTGGATCAGATTGGTCATGGGCAAGAAAGTTACCAATCACAATTCCTCTCTCTATCCCTTGAGTTTTTCAGTTTATTCACGAGGGGGATCCAGTTATTTTTGACAGTAGGGTTTGAAATTTATTCTCGACCAACTCACGCCCTCTCCCTCTCCTTTCCGCCTTTCCCTTCCCCTCTCCCTCATCCCTCTCCCTCCCCCTCCTCGGTTTCTTTCCATCCTCTTTCCTATTCCCCTCTCCCTTCCCCTTCTTCTCTCCCTCTCCTCTCCTCTCCTCTCCCTCCCCCTTTCCCTTTCCCTTCCCGTCCCCTCCACTCATGGTAACACAGAAAAGCTAGTTGAATAGTAACACGCAATCCTGTCGATGCAAGAATGTTGGTGTCAGACAAATAGTGAAAAATCCCACGAGTCGGATGAGTAGGGTGTGGGGATCTCCCTCCCCTCTTCCCCCCATCTTATAAACACCAGAGTGACCTCGTACGGTTATGGATCATTGGGCTCGTGAGTGAACAAATCTCCGAGATATCAACTACATCACAGTTATTGAAGGTGTCCATAAATTACCTCATTCTTACTGCCATAAGAGCAGCATCCCTTCTGTCATGCCACAGAGAGTGAAGTAAATAGAATGCTGCTGAAACTAGCTCAGCGGGAATGTGGTGACCTGCCTATAAACAGACGGAAAATTGTTTCTGGATGAGAAGTACATTTGCCTCAAACAAATTAAAACTGAAAGTTGTCGTCACGACAACAAAGTAGAAGCCCGACTTTAGTAAACAGAATTTAAAAAAATAAGTCGGGCAAGGACTTTTGATAGTCGTCGTGTATACGAATTTTATTCTCCATCGTTGGTAAACTTTGCTCACTCGTGAGAGAAATTGTCAACCTGAAGAAATATATTAGCACTGGGTCGTTGGTAGGCATTTAATGATCTATATATTACATAAACATTAATGAGATACTCAAATCAGAAAATATTTTAAAAAACATAACTAAAGCACCAAATACATAATCACCCGCACGTTTACTGAGCCCGAAAAAGGACCACTGAACGGAGAAAATGAAAACCATCCTGATCATTTAAGAGACGACACTATTCGTAATGACACTTTTACCTGTTTCTCAGGGTCTATAATATCTAAAACTGCATGAAGACAGCTATTCTGTCCAATGACAAATTCCTGAAAAGAAAATTATCGTTTCATCAACATCAAATTGTTGATAATTCATCACTTGACTGATTGAAACGCATCATGACTGTAACCCCTCTGGGGACCTGATAGGAGGTAAGTCATTACCCACCAGGGATGTCACGGAAATTTTCTTTGAGGCCGAGAGCCATAACCACTGTATAATAAGCTGTAAAACAACCACGATCAGTGGTTTTGATAAAACTCAGCCATCTACATGAAGATTAACTTGCAACGGTGAGTAAGGGTACACGATTAATAATATGACAAGCATTTGTCCTAAAACATATTCAGCCTTCAGAGACACGAATTCACTTTAGTAGAGCACATGAAGAAGTGTACGCCTCTGATTTTATGTTTTTTTGTTTGTTTGTTTGCGATAAATGGACAGGCCGGTCCAGTTCAGCTTTAAAGCTGGTTTAAATGGGAACCTCTATAAGCAATAACAAGGCTAGACCACAACACCGGGGTTACGCTCCCTTCTTTTTGCGAGAGGTGCACGGGTTCTTTAAGGTCCCCTGCTAAGCAGTGAAAAGTCTAATCATTACAGTACAATGTCTAGTCATTTTTGGATGTCAAGGCAAAGGCAGCACATTTTCCTCAGTTATTTTAAGACCCAGATTGTTTTTCTGGTCTAGGATTTCAGCCCTCGGCATCCCGCAAGGCAGTAGTGAACCACCAGTCACAAACTGGGATTTCATAAAGAAAAACGACTCTTTCAATGGTTCCTTGAGCAACGGTAAGAAATAAGCCCTGTATTGCATGGTAGGTTAGGACGACAACTTAATTCCTTGTAATGGTCATGGAATATTTTGTTGAAAATGAAACTATCATGTACCTTGTTATCTTTATACGTCAAATCAAGAAAGAGCTCAATCAACCCAGGTTGTGTTTCAACAGCTGTTGCTATAAACTCCAGTATAACTGCTTTGAGTTTGATATCCTGCAAATAAATCATTTGAAGCAAATAAGAAAATAATATTATTCTCACTTTGTAGGGAAAAAAAAAGACTCCCATAGCTTACAGCTTAAGTGAACTAGATCAGTACCTGAAACTCCCCTAACACACATTTTAACAAATAGCCCCACGCGCCAACTTGTTCTTTGTGAAACTGTCGATAGACCATTGACTTCGAAATCGCCTTTTGCTAGTCGTCACAAGAGGAGAAATATCTTGTTTTCCATGCGCTTAAGCGTGGATGGTGCCTGTTAGCTAACAAGAGAGTGTTAAGAGTCATAACGTGTTGTTCAGTACCTCAGTAAGAGTCCTTAATCTTGACACAAAAGCGTCTCTCAGAGAAACAGCTTCAGCACCAAAACTTGCATGCATTGACATAGGAGCCACCTTAAAAAGGAAAAATAAAATAAAATGAAAAGCCCAGAAGTCACCTTGAGCCTTCAATGAAAGACTGAGTAACTAAATGTTAGCTAAATTTAAGTGAGCAATAGTGCACCTTACAAAAAAGTAACAAAAAAAAAAGTAACCTGTGCTTAAGGATATCATGCTGGATAAATGTTCAGCAGACAATCAGAACTGTAGAGCAGAGACTTAATTCCCAGTTCAGTTGAAAAATGTTCCAGTGGTCCTTAAAGTTGGCCATGCAAAAGAAAAATGTGTCCCCTCTAGGGACCTGAAGGGAGCAAGAAATCCACCCTCCAGGGATATAACAGGGAGTTTTTTATTTAGGCTGAGAGCCATGACCACTCTACAATAAGCTATAGGTGGCTTTGGTAGAATCCAGCCACTCATTACGTGGCTTTCAAATGTAAGTTACACAAAAAGTAATTTTACAGCAATTAAAGATATCCTCACACATGTACACTGAACCTAACGCTTAGATACACGTACATCTTAGATTAAGCTGAATGAGCAACGAGAATCCAAGGACCTTCATAGTACTCAGCCAGTAAAAGCCTCCATTTTTTGTGGTAAGCTTTGCACCCCACATAGGCCCAATAGCTGGAAATTATAACAATCTCCTTATAGTCTTAAGAAAAAAATGGGGTAAAAAGAAGGGACAAGAGAAACTTGGTGACATGAGAGGCTGCACCAGGACCATAGTTCACCCTTTTTAAACCCACTATCATGAACCCCAAAGATGACAATTCTGATATTTTTCTCACAGGAAATAATAGAGGAAAAGTAAGAGAGCATAGAGAAGGAGAAGGAGTAGAAGAGACCTACTGACAGCCAAAAAATGGTGGGTCAACACACCTTAAAAAAAATTCCATAAGGAGGCACACTTAGAGAATCATTTGTTTATCGCCAACAACCCAACAAAAACCACTTCAGTCTCCTTTATTAAATTTGATATGATTCCTTTAAGTCTCTAAGATTCTACCCAACGATTTTTTTAAAACATTTTTTTCTTGTGGTGCAATAAAAACATTTCTTCTTTGATTCAGTGTGCAATTTTATCAAGTATGCAGACATACCAAGCATATTCTCTTCAGCAAGAGTGTTGCCAGGGTTGGTAACTGACAGTCCAGTCTGTGATGTATATATGACGCTATGACAGTCACGAGCTGGTTATTACCTGCGTGGAATAAAAACACGTGATTATCCAGAACATGGCTCAAGAAGTATGTTTTTTTTTCTTTTCTTTTAATAATAATTGTCCACAATTTAACTGTTGAATAGTACTACTCAGCCCCACAGGGGCCAAACATTACACGTGACTATCCTGACCACAGCTAAAGGAGTATGTTTTCTTTTCTTTTAGGAATAATTGCCCACATTCTAACTGTTGGGTAATATTACATAGCCCCACAGCAGCCAAACATTACACGTGATTATCCTGGCCAGCCTGGGGGAGAGATATATCACCTTCCAAAGCTTAAGTACTTTGTTTTTTGCTTTTGTTTTTGTTTGTTGGTTTGTTTGTTTGTTTTTTTGGGGAGTGGGGTTTGCTTGTTTTCCAAATGAAGCTACAAGAAGCATACTTCACTTCCTCAGTGGAATGCTATCTGCATTTCAAACCTCCCCTCCCAACCATTTGATAATTTCCACTACAAAACAAGTCCCAGGTATCAAATCATACTTCATAGCGCAATACAGTGCACCCAGCAATGGTTCTGATCCTGCCTAACACATAAAGTACTGCTTACTAAAAAACCACTCTCTGCATTTTCCACTGGGAAGACAAATCTACCAATTTTTGTTAAATAATACCAAGTTAAACATGCATGTAAACTATCATCAGTGTCCAAACAGAAGGTAATCATAATTGTGATAAAAGAAGACAACCAAAATCCTTGATTCCCCAAATTTATGATGTATCCCCTCTGGGGACCTGATAGGAGGTATATTGTCTACCCACCAGGGATATAACAGGGAGTTTCCTTTAGGCTGAGAGCCATAACCACTCCACAATGAGCTGCAGGCAGTTTTGGTAAAATTCAGCCATATCAAATTACATGTTATCACACAGACATAAAATAATAATAAGAAGAAAATGTAAAATAATAGAGAAACAAAAGGAAGTACAACATGTAAAATCTAATATATAGATTTAGCCAAGCCTAAAAGTGGAGCTCGCATTTTTTTCCCGCACGTCTTGCCCTGGCCAGGACTAGAACCAGGGTCGTCCAACTCGGAGCTCAGTGCACTGACCACTAGACTACTGGACAAAGCCGTGGCGCTGGTGTGCCCGCGGTACAGTTGACATCTTGTACGGTCGGTCATACGGTGGTAAGTCCAAATTTTTTCGGCTTGATGGGTTACTACTATTTTTTATAATTATGGGGCTATGCTTTGCAAGCTCCGTTATGACGAACAACAACTGCATTAATCAATAACAGTTTATCATCTCATGCCCTTTGGCCTCTTTTGCAGACAGTAATTGAAACTTGGCAAGGCTATTCACCAGCCCAGTTCAGATCACCATACTGTTTATATCAACACTTGCCCCAACTTGTGGAAGAGCTTGCTCCTTTTTCCCTCAGTTGATGAATCACTTGTGTTGTCAGTGCTTCTTCCAGAGGAGAGATGTTATCATCCTTATAACAAATCAGAAACATGCATAATTATTGAGCTGACAAAATTTGTATGTTGATGCTCTTAAAATTTCTGCAATGCATCAGTCAATTCTTCAGTATATTCTTAAGTATTCCATAGTCCAAAATGGAAATATCAACAAAAATTCCATGTCTCCCCTCTGGGGACCTGATAGGAGGCAAGTTAACTACCCATCAGGGATATAACAGGGAGTTTTCTTTCAGGCTGAAAGCTATGACCACACTACAATAAACTGTAGGTGGCTTTGGTAAATTCAGCCACATAGAGGTCACCAACCACACTTGTTCCAGATAATTACATCAAACCATAATGACATGATGTATTGACAATGTCAACTCTCAGCCAATTCCTGCCCGAATACATGTAATCCTGTGATAACAGCTATCAAAATAATATCTCCTTGGCCTACAGCCTCTTGAACTGCTGTAAGAAAGTAATCAGCAAAATTGGTGGACATTTTAGTAGCATAATTTATTTAGAATTATTCTAAATAAACAAACCTTTTCTTTTCTAGCCAAGAGTCTGTTCAGCACAGAAAATGCCAGCTTGATAAGTTCAACAAGGGCTATGGCATATCCACCTGTAGAACTACTGACAAAATGTACACAAGCCAGATTACAGTCAAACATGTGCAGCCAGTGGATCAGAAGGCTTTCTACATGTATGCCTGAGTATGCTAAAAATGCCTTACAGGAGTTGCTTAAAAACATTTTCATCTGCTTTTATAATATGAAAAACTACAATAACAATAAGATATTAGTTGGAAAAAGAGGCAATAACAAAGACATTGATGGATAATATTAAAAACTATAAAGTGCACAGGCAATGAGAGAGTTCTTTTAATAATTGTATTAATTTTCATTAGTCTTAATATTCAACACCCTGTACAGCATGTGTAGATTAACCATTTAAACCCAAAGAGTTACCAGCTTCTAATTTTTTCCTAACAATTACACTGCTGAGTTGTTCAATGAGATCATGATAATATAAGGGAAATGATCACCAACCAACACTCTAAGAAGCTTTCATTCTTCAACTAATTCCCCAAAGGAAATGTAAAGGGAAGGTTACATGGAATATGGATATTGATGTTGGAGAATATGGGGTTATACTTTGTTAACTTTGTAACCCTTGTCTAACAATTTATTTTAGTATTCAGGCTTCATGCACAAAACAATCTTATTTTGCTCATTCAAGAGTTTCAACATGTGACCCATATGTACAGGTGTATGATACACAACACTTTTTTTGATATCCTAATTCTTGACAACATTTCACAAATTTTCAAAGCAGATCCTCATTTTATGAATATCAAAAGATTATTTTTAACAAAGACCATACAATAATTAATACAACATGTACCTTCCCACAGACACAAGTTTATCGACAGTATCCACCCCTGTGCCAAGAATGTTGAGTAGTGACTGTCCAGCTTCTGAGTATAACAAACCAAGAACTAAGGTGTCCTGTAAAACTGATGGAGTCCTTCAAGAGAGAATATAACATCCATTAATTGGTACTTTACCAGAAAACTTCAGTTGAAATGAAATAGAATAATCTTACTCTGCTGTTGGAATGAATCCAGATCTCAAGTAAGTGGGGTCTTATTAACTTTAAACAGTTCAATGATAAAAAGTTATGACTGCTTTATTAGAAACTATATGTGCTGTGCTCTCCTTTGTGGAACCTCCCACAGTGCAGAAAGCCTGATTAATGCTGTAGAGGAATCACAGCCAGATGCATCACTGGTTATCCAAATTCTACATATGTGTCTTGTGAGGAAGCATGCGTATGGAAAATTGCTAGAGCATAAGGTTCCAATACTATCCGATAACAGTCCAAAGAATGGTCCTCATTGCTCATAACATGTACAGTTATAGCTACAAAGCTAAAGGGTAGAAATAAAGTTGCACACTGACCATGGCAAATCTGTGACTTCAGCTTCCATTGCATCATTGGCTTGATCAGCCATTTTTTTTGTGAAGTGAAGGCCAAGAACAACATTGAACAACTGAAGACATCTCTTCCCTTTGTACAAACCAAAACAAAATTCATTCATATTTTATTTGGCTCTGATGTGTGGAATTTATTACACCCATTCCCCCAAAAGATTGCTTTAAAACTTAAGAGCATTGATTCATGTAAATTTAAAATCAGCTACATAGCAGAGAAAGCCAAAGAAAACTTTTGAACACTAGATAACATGTACAAGTCTATAGCTTTATAGAATTATTTCATGGTTCTTCAACCCTGGAAAAAGAGCCATTACTTGTTTATACAAGTCTCTCTGAATTGGCTATAAAGTAAATGTTTTCTATAGATGGACACCAATCCTTTGTGCAAACTTACCAATTTCTTCTCTGTCCCTCAGGCTACCAAATCTCCATTTGTAAAATCCTGTGAACACCTCTCTCATTATGAAAACTAGACAGGCAGCAAGCTCGACAATACTAATTGCCTGATTTCCAGTTTCCTCAGCATTACTCATACCATGAATCAGCTTCAAAAGAAAATTCAATGTTGCCATGGTGACAGGATAATAACCAATCGGCCTCTCTTTAGTGCTTAAAATTGCACCGAAGTTTCCTGGTGCTGTGCCAAGGAACCTGAACAAGATACAAAGGTGCTTTCATTCAAAGAGTTGAACATTGAAGGATAACAAACTATTATCATTTTTGTGAAAGATGATGTATTTAGTCAATGACACAGGCATACTCAAAGAAAAAGAACTTCAACTCCTCCCAATGGGGTTGAACCTACAACTTTCCACTTAGAACTTGGGATGCTCTACCACAGTGTTATAGGAGATTGGTGGCAGGGTGTGCTGTTTAACCCTGTAAGTCCTGTGAATGACCAAGACAAAATTTCTCCTTACTATATCTAGTATACAATATCATGAAGGCAAGTGATGAGAATTAAGTAAAATACTAATTGATCTGATACCATATTCTCCAAACTCACATACTGAGAATTGTTTGGCAGACCAGTAAGAAGAATTACTAAATTAAACTAGTAGTAATCGGAGATTAGGGAAGTGTGTTCGGCATTTCAAAGGGGAAATATTGTTTTTTGGTTATTGGGATAGATGAATATGCCTATGGTATGTTGTCAATTTGCGATGCACGAGGCAGCATCCTTTGCGTAACGAAATTGTGACGTCATTCAAAATGGCGCTGAAAAGATTAACGGCCGGCCGATCGGACAAAAAAACACGGGTCAGCTTTCGCTTGCGTGCACAGGACACCTACGCGATCACAGGTAGCCCAGGAGATTAGGAAGCGTTCTTCCTTCGTCGAACGCAATTAGATCTTGGGAGTTAACCCTTTGGCTCCCTGATCAAATTTGTCATTCTTCTTACTCTCAACCAAATCATAATGATTCTTGTAATGTTAGTTTAGAGAATTTAGTATTGGAACAACTAATTATCTCCAAATTGATATGTTTCTTTATTCTCATCACTCATCTGGTTGATATTGAATTGATATTGTAAGGAGAAATTCTGTTTTGATCACTCATGAGAGTTAAAGGATTAATCAAATACACATGTATCACTCATAAGCAGAGAAATTAGAAATATATCAAGAAACCACGTGATTTCTATTTCTGCCAGATTCTTGAGATTCTAAAGAAAAGGAAAGCAGTCTTAATTAAATATACTTAAAATATTTTAAAACTTAGACAACAACATTTAGAATATAGATAACCTGACAGCACATGCAAAACTGTAACACACAGGTTGAAAGACTTAAAGCTACAGATCTCTTTTTTTTTTCTTTTTTTTTTTTTTTTTTTTTATCTCAGACTACTCACTCCACTTTGGTTTTGTCTGACTTCGACATTTTGACTGAAGTGTAATGAGGAAGAAATCCTGTCTGTTGAAGATGATGCCACACCTATGTACACAGCAGAAATGAAGAACACAATTTTAACAAAAGTTTTATGTATGTGACAAAGATCATATTGTATGTTATTGTATGTTAACTTCATACAGGGTTGTTACCAAATGCCGACTGCTGACAAAATACCCCTCTTGAAAAAGCAGCGATCACTCAGTAAAGCAAACTACTACCTATCAGGTTAGGCATTAACAGCTGTTTGCCATCTTTGAGCTATCACACCGGAAATTTCAACAAGCAGCCTAATTCTTTAGCTAGAACCCTGTTAATGGTTAGTGTGCTTGACTCAAGATAGAGCCATCCCTGTTTAAACCCTGGTGGAATCACTCTCCTGAGTGGCCTGATAAGACATGCTTACATAAAAGGGTTCTTCTCTCCACCAGACTGCTGGGAAACCAAATAAAAACTTGGGTGGTTTGTCATATTGGGCTTAAAAGTGTCAAGTGCCCACCAAAGAGGGTGTGCAGCACGAGTGCCAAAAAAACACTGATGAGAAAAGTGAACATACTCTCTTTATTTAATGGGTAACCATGACAACAACAAAATACCATGTCAAAAGCACCTTTAAAGGTAGCTTGTTGTAAAAGGAAAAAATTGTCTGTTACCTGTTCTGGATCTCTCAAAGCAACAGTAGCTAAGCATGTCAAACATGTAGCAATCAAATCTTGGGGAGGGTTTGGTGATGGTGTACACCTAAAATGAGATTGAACATGGTCAAGGTGATGGCAAAAATCATCACAATGTGTTTGGGTTGCTATTCTATGGGTAAAGTCCTCCAATTCTTTATCAATTGATGGCCACTTCAGCCAAAAACTCATGTGCCTCATCACTAAGTCTTTTGTTTTTCTGACAACCATACAGAGCATTGCACACTGCAGCCTCTTGAAAAAGTTATGGAGAAAGACAAAATTTATTGGGAAAATAAAACGGAAACACATATCACAGTAAGGGGTTACCCATGGTCAAAACAAAAAATTTCAAGCCAAAGGGCGATAGGTTTTGGGCTGGAAACAAAAAGTCTATACTGGAGCCAAGTGACCCATTCAACCAGAGAGCTTATTCTAGTTTCCATGGAATGAAGTGACTAAGAGTACCACTACTCCTCCCTGGATAGGATGGCAGTCCATCACAAGGTTACTCCCAGCATTTCATAAGGCTTCCCTCACAACTATTCACCAGAACATATTTACACTCTTAGTTGGAGAAAGGCACCTCTACAGTAGATATGTTGCTAACTATAAAACAAAATGGCCAGATTTATATCATAGTTAGGCTGTGTTACCTCTGAATAATCAGATACAGACGGGAAGAGAGAGGCTGGAGATAAACAGCCTTGTCCCAGTCATTGAGTAGGACCTCATTGACTAACTCCACAATACAAATGACATTTTGACAATCCACAGCTAAATTCAAAATAATGAAAAAAACAAAGTCATTTACCATAACCAGTCATTTCACATGACACATATAAAAAAACATATTGCAATACAAAATTCAGACTAAAGGTCGGAGTAGAACACATGATTGCAATGTACAGAAGTTCTCACCTGCTCCAGATCCCACAGATTCAAGGAATGAATCAATTTCCAATGCAAAAAGTTTCCAGCAGGAATAGTGATAACTCCATTGTATTATAGCAGGTCCTGGACAGCAAGCAGTAGCATTGTGAATATGCAGATTTAAGAAGACCAACACTTACACTTATATGCTCCAGATACCATTTTATCTTTGAGTGTGCCTATGGTACTGATGTGTATAATTTCAAATTAAACATCAACAAATGTTTCCCAAAAACTATTTACCTTCAGGTACAGGAGCAACTTTTCCACATGTGCCAGCAGGCATAATGAGTTCTTTTGAATCTGGACTAAACACTGATAAATGAAACAAAAAATAAGATGCGTTTTTTTTTGCTTCTCACTGAGGAGCAAAAAAGATTCAAACCTTTTGCAATGCATTGTTTTCATATTTCTGTCCATGTTTAAAATTTCCAAAAGATGCCTTAATATATATATATATATATATATATACACCTTAACTGGAAATAAGTATTACACATGTGCTAGAAATAGCCCACACACACACCCCCAAGAAAAAATACAACACATATGCTAGAGATACCCACCCCTGGAAAAAAAAGATTGACACTAAAAGTAGTTATTGCCAAAAAATTATTATCTTTTTCTTTTTAATTCAAAATTCTTTGAACGCAATGTAGCTTTTTCTTCATTGTTATCCTCTGTTGGACATGAACAATTTGGCCAGTGGAAGCCCAATATGGCCAATTTTTTTCTCTAAAATGATGTCCAGTTTTTTCTTTAAAATGGTGCCCAAAAATGACAAAATATTTTTTTCTTTTCCCTTCCATCTTTAGTTCAAAACTGAAAGCCATGATGTAAAACTGTTCAAGGCTAATTTCACATATCCTGTATTTAATAAAATTTTAGAAAAAATTCCACCATTTTAACATCATTATTATTCTGATTCACCTCATCAGCAATCATCTAAACAGTTCTTACAATTCTGATAGAGGAGTCTTGGATTAACAATCCTCCAGATCTTATTAACACCAGAACAGTCTATGTCACTCAGCTGGTTTTCTCTCAGCAACTCAGTGTATGATGTCACTCTGTCCAAATAGTCATAAACCTTTGAATACAAACAGATTAGAACAAGTGAACATCAATCCAAGTTTACATTTTGTATCTTTTCACTCAAATCAAATTTGCAATAAGTTAGCAAAGTTGCTGAAAATGTCACACTTTTGTTAAAAGCCACAAAACTCAACATTTCCAGAGCTTGACCTGCCTTAGCTCTGACAAGCACACCTAGCAAGAGTATTTTTCTAAGGAGTTAGGAATTGTCTCACTTATTGTCTTAACAGTAAGTGAACAGCCTTTCCCTTTCCAGGAGAGGGGGGAGGGGGTTAGTTCATCACTTATCACCCATTATCTAAATATGACCTAATGCATATCTTACAGTATTTGTTACAATGCTTTCACGAAAAAGTAACGAACCTTAGCTGCAGAATCCTTGTCACCAGCTAAGGATTTCAGAAGTTGCACAAATGGACAAAACTGGAGTGGAAACCTTAAATACAGAGATCAACATGATCTACATATGAATAATTTTGATCACCAGAAATATTTGAATGATTTTGTATATGACAGAGATTTTCTCTGCTAAGACAGTATGTCTTTCCCTTTAAACTGAGAGGTCATGTTGAGGAGACCATCATTATAGTTTTGTTAAAATAAAATCCATCACATTTGAGGGAAGTTGCAGTCACCTATTAATCAACATTTCTGCTATAAAAATCTAGTGAGGTTTAATTTTCAATCACCACACATACTTAAAATGTTTTATTCAAAGCTTAATAAGTTTTGCTAGAACATCTATAAAATTAATAATAATTAGCAACACCTCTCTACCTTTACTGAGAGCACTTTTGGAAAGAAAAGTTATAAGAAGTTTCTTATGGTCTGAGCAACTGAAGCCCCTTCCCCTCCCCTAACCCAACAACAGTCAAATGATGACAAGTCAGGGTTAATGCTAGGATAGGGGAGGGGTAGGTACATACTTGCTCAGGTAGTGATATTGATCCAATCCATTAACTGGAAACTCTGAAAGAAACTTACCAACTTCTGGCTGAATTCAAAAGGAGACCAGCACCTGTATTCAAGTCCTGAAAATATTATTGCATAAAAATGACCAACAAAGAATCAGCTTTATGTACATGTTCTGTACAATCTTTGTGCATCAGATGCTTGAATGTAGGCAAACAGTGACTGCAGCCAATGTTATCAATTAAGTATCAATTGCTAATGTCATTAGAGGCAGGCAAAGACAAATTGAGAAGGTGACACTTTCAAAATACAAATACATACCGAATCCCAGAAATCCACACAAAGACCTTTCTCAGTAAGAGTTTGTGACAAAACAGAGACCAACAGCTAAAATGAATTATGGTGATTCAGTGTGAGTTGATCTAACAATATGAAAACTATAAACAAAAGATGACTTAACCCTTTACCTCCCAAGATCTCACTAGTAATTCTCCTTACTGTCTGCCATACAGTTCTTGTAATGTTAGTCTGGAGAATTTGGGATTGGATCAACTTACAATCCCCTAATTGATATTTTTCTTTATTCTCATCACTAGTCTGCTTGATATTGTATTGATATTGTAAGGAGAAATTCTGTCTTGGTCACTCGCGGGAGTTAAAGGGCTCACAGAAAAGTGTCAAATTCTTGTAACTAATTTACATGGAAATGTGTAACAGCTAAATGGGAGAAATAAAATTAGATCTTGGGAGTTAAAGGGTTAAACGTCAAGTCAAGAATATACACAGAATTGAACTCAGGGTTGTGTATGTTGCTGTACTTACTGGTAGTTCTCCCAGTGTATCCTCATCAAACAGAGCCAGCACTATCACCATCAGTCCATATATAAGGCTCTTGCAAGTGTTAGACACAACCTACAAATTAAAGTAGTTTCCCTTGAAAAAATCTTTCACCTTCATTTTCAAAGAAACAATAAAAACATGAAGACCTCACCACAAAGTCTTGATTATAATTAAAATTTCTTAAGTATCAATATCCAATAATGATATCATGATATAATGATATAAATTTAAGAAAAAAATGTCAACAATAACATTATTAAGAAATTTAATTGCTGTGAGCCTAACAGGTCACAGACTCAACATTGTAAATTAGTCACAGTTTGCATCTTTCAGTTTTCTTGCAGTTTGGCAACAGTCATTCCTTGTCAGTCCTGAGTCCTTCTGTAACATTTTTTCTCAAGCATTCTCTCCCCTCCCCTCCCTCATTTCTTCTTCCACTGATCTAACCTGTGTTGATGGGTGCCTAGAATAGGGGTTGGAGATAGGGTTACAAGTATGTGTCAAACATGGAGATGTTACTCTTTCTGGGAGTTAGTTGGGCACAGATGATAAACATGTATTCCAGACACCTTCCTCTTTGATTAGGTGAGGCAGCAATTGATATCAAGAATTTTTGTCAAGTTCAAACCTCTTACAAATGATACTTACATCATTTGTAGAGAATTCCTCACTTCTTAACATTCCAAGTAAATATTTGAACACAGAACATTGCAATGCTTTACCACCAATTCTTCTTACAAACTGGAGAAAATAAAAAAGTATATCATAGTACTATTACAATGATCCGATAAAGGTAAGAGAAATGTTTCGTTTTCCCCCCTCGTGAGGAACCGCTGTGGCTTTGAGGAACAAATGGCAACTTATGCCTACAGCCAATTTTTTTTCTTAATCATATCATTCAATGAAAGTCTTTTCAAGATACCTGTTCTTGACTGGCATCTATAGTAACATATCTGAACGCTGCCCAGGCCAACATGACAGGTCCATGGTGAGGCTGATCTCCGCAGCTAAGAAAAAACTTATCTAGAGCCTGAGAGATGAAAAGTGGTATCCATAATTATTCAATCATTGTGTTGTCTTTTAAAGGATCAAACAGATTATTGAACAGAAACATACCTCAAGTGAGGCTTTCTCCTGGAGTAAATGATGCCGTGAACAGCTGTCAATAACAGAGTGAAACAGAAATTGAAATAAAGTAAACCCAAGTTCAGTGTTTTAAACAGACTGACCTGTCCACTATCACCCACTCTACATAGCCTACAGGTTGCAAGGTTAACCATTTGACCCCTGGGAGCGACTAGCATCTAATTTCTCCTTAAAGTATTATCCCTGAATCAAACATTAAGGTCATGAGAGTAAAGGAAATGATCATAAACTATGGAAGTTCTTGATTGTTAAAGAAATTTTCCTTAAGGAGAATATGCATACTGATGTTAGGTTGTAAAGGGTTAACCAACATCTCAAACTTGGAAAATCTACAGCTAGTTGTTCAAAGTGCCCTTCCCCGAACCTTGATTAAATATTAAGCTTGCTTTAATTTTTTAATGATAGTGAATCAGTGCAAACAGATTTTATCTGAGGGGCAATGCAAAATTAAACTATTATTAATAGTAAGTTTGCCTAAAAGTTGTATATGCAAAACTTGATAGACCTAAAGTTTATTGGATTAGCTTGCTGAGCACAATGGAGACAGTGTACATGTATGTCTTTACTAACTCAGTCAAAATTATTTGTATTACACACCTGTCCTCTTCTATTAATTTCCTTAAACTCTCTAAGTCAAGTGAAACTATGAGAACCAACACCTGCAGGTAACTGGAAACAAATTATGTACATTACAATAGAATTGGAGGTTATCAGATATTCAGAAAAGCATTTGAATTTGAATTTTTATTTGGTGGACCCAGTGCCACAGAAATGCTATAATCTGATAGTCAAGATATTATCTTCTTTTCTTCTCTAGTTGGTTTGTTGGCTTGGTTGGTAGAGCACTGCATTAGTATTGCAGAGGTCTGGGTTCAAATCCTGTACAGGCCTGATTTTTTTTCAGGCCCCATTTTCAATACTGTCATGTTCATCACTGCAAAGATCATCTTCATATTATTTTCTTAATCCACAGTTCACATATACATTCAGTCACTGACACTTTTCTTCTTACGAATGAAAATGAAAATATAAACAAGCCCTTTCTTTACACTTAGTAGAAGTGTAAAATTTATTAATAAATTATTGTAAGAAGTTTGTGACCAAAAGTTATCAAGTAATAATCTGTGAGACCTTACAAATTTACTCACCTGATATGAGGAAGTAAGACCTCAGCCTGTCCTTCAAAAAGCTGTCTATTGACTTGCTTCAATCCAAAACTCTGGCTCTGTCATGTACAAATCATGAACACAAAAAAACTAAATTCAAAGATTTCAGTTCTCACTTTCTATATACATCTCAGCTAAAACACTTTGTGCAATAAAAGTTTTAAAACTCTGACTCTGTCAGGTACAAATCATGAACACAAAAAAAAAGAGATTCAAAATATTTCAATTCTAACTTTCCAAATATATGTTAGCTACAACACCTAGATCTTCGTGTTTTGTTTCAAAACTCTGGCTCTGTCAGGTACAAGTCACACAAACAAAAGAATACTTAAAGAAAGTTATTTAACAGGGTGTAACAGGTCACTTTTCATAATTATACTTTCTGCTATTACCACTGACAAGACAACACTTTTCTGTTTTAAAATTAAAAACCTTCATAACAAAATCAGTGGACAGAAAATGGAGTAAATCGTATTATCTCATAACATTAAGCTCTTTTATCAAACTATCCTCTGTGGAAAGAGCTTTGAGACCAACAGGAATTCTCCCTGGTATGTTATAAGCAAAATAAGTACCTGTTGAATGATACATTTATATCAATTTCACCTGAAATAGTTTTGCTAAGTCTAGCAGGGACTTGGCTGGAACAACAAATTCCTTATAATAGAGGAACATGATTTCCAGAAGCAGTATCTGAAGGTATAAAAAATTCAATCTTTAAACCACTGAAGTGTGTATACAAATTAGAGGCAAATTAGCCAATGGAAGTAGGGAGAAAGCTCTGAAAAAAAAGTTGTCAAATAAAAGAATGGTCAAAATTTCAATAAAATTGACAAGAGAAAACCGAAGTCAACTATTATGCATAGTTGATAATGTAAATTGGCCACCATAGAGAGTTGACATTTCAGGTGTTAAACCTTCATCACTCGGTTTGATAAAGGACTAACACTCAAAATGTTAGCTTGAAACCCTTTACGGTGGCCAATTTACATTATCAAGTTAGTTGATAATACTAAATTACCCTGTTATACTCTCTCACCAATGCGCATCATGGTCTCTTTAAAGAAACTCACCCCCTTTATTTTTATCATGCATAAGGGTGTAAAACTTTACATACGGATAGTCAGCTTAGAGAAGGAGTAAATACTTGAAACCAAGGACCAAACTTGTTCAAAAACATTATCTTCCCTTTTTAAATTTGACTGCCATTTTTCACTCTAGTAAATGGGTAAGGTACTATGTAGGGCTTGCACTTAAGATCTAGATCATACATCTAACTCAGCTACAAAATGACAATGCCTAAAAAAGATGAACACCATTGATTTTAGTTTACACCAAAGACAATTCCTTTAAAACCATGTGGATAATTGAGGCCTAGATTTTTACCTGTTCTCTTAAAAACTGTAAGGCCCATCGCTGACATTTTGTCTTCAGATGCTATGAACAGATATGAAAAAAAAGAATTCTCTTCATTAATCTTTAAATTAATTTATCTCAACAGTATGTCAATGAAATACAGCTGAACCTAGACAATAAAAAAACTTACAAGTGATGATCCTGCAGTAGCATGAAGAGGAACTGTGGTAGAACAACAAGTCTTGTACTGTTCCAAAATCTACAACGAACACAAAAATACTGCGCACTTGTATACAGACAAATTTGATGCTGGTATACTCCCTTTTCCAAGACAGAATGTATTATTCCACCTTCTGGTAATGTATCCATAGCTTTGTACAGAAGCAGTTCCACATAACAAGTGAAACACTGTATGTCAACAAATAATATGAAACAATATGTCAACAAATAATGTTGACATATTATTTCAAGATTCCCTCAAAAGTACAGTTATAAACAATGTAAAACAAGTCCATGTACATGTGACTCCCAACAACCCTCACTAGCTGGACATTGCACTATCCTGAACCACAATTAATTTACTTTGGATTTGCTTATAAATGTTTTGTAAATTTTAATCACAGGTTACACTAAGTTGGGTTCTTTCTATAACTACATGGCACTGCATATGGTGGATTCTGTTTCTAAAGAACTTTTTTTTCTTAAGCCTGTTTTTCCAAACCCATCTCTCCCACTCAACTTTGCTTTAGTACTGAATAATCATATTGGATATAAAAAAATTTCAGTATCTGACACTTTTCTCAATTAGCAACTCCCAATGAATACTATCTTTTTTCAGTTTATCTTTATAATTAGAGTGACAGTAAAGTGCATTTGAGATCAACTTAAATCAAATTCTCATACATGCACATTTTACATTGCATATACTGTACCTTCATAATCAAAACATCATTTTCCTGCATAGCTTCAATGCACTCTGCAAATTCTTCCTGGTTACATGAAAAAAAAAATGCAAATCATCAAACTGACATGTTTATTTACAAGTCTAAGCGTTAAATGTATAAAAACATATTCATGTGATAAGCTTATTTATGCAGGGATAAGCTAAATGTACTTAATAACAGTTTAAATCCTGAAAGTGGCCAAGACATAATTACTCCTTATTATATCATTAGAGTAATCAAGCAGATAAGTGATGAGAATAAAGAAAAACATCAATTAACCCTTTAACTCCCAAGATCTCATTAGTAATTCTCCTTACTGTCTGCCATACAGTTCTTGTGATGTTAGTTTTGAGAATTTGGTATTGGATCAACTAATGACCCTCTAACTGATATTTTTCTTTATTCTCATCACTTGTTTGCTTAATATTGTATTGATATCGTAAGGATAAATTTTGTCTTGGTAATTATCCAAACAAACATCATAAGAATTGTACGGCAAACAGTATTAAGAATCACTATAGATCTGAAATGGTAAAAATTAATTGAAATTCAACTTACTCGCCATTGATGTCTAGGGTCTTGCCAGTAGCTCAACAAAAACTTAGTGCACTGTAAGATGTGTAAACGTTCTTCAAAGTAGTACTCCATGATCTGAAAAGGTAAGAAAATGAGAAGAAAAAAAAGCTGGTAACTTCCAGTAAACCTCTGCACCAGGAAATAACAAATTACTAACCTTCAGCAAAAGTGCCTCTGTTTGAGCTTCATTTTTCAACATTTCCTTTTCATTTGAAAGAAAGAAAGAATTGTATGAAAAATTATACATTAAAAAAATTAAACATATTTGTGGTTCATAAACAAAAACTGAAGACAAAAATCAAGCCTCAGTCTTTGGGTTCCAAAGAGCACAGTTTTTTCCCTTAGTTTAAGCATGACAGATAAAAAAAATCTCAAGTAATTCTTAGTGGTAATAGGAGGTACCAGAAGCAGTATATTTTACTGGTGACTTCTGAGTCACCAATAAATCTAGGTTTATATATACCTAGAGCCAAGATCAGCAATTTTGAAAGCTGTGAGTGAGTAAAAACAGTATAAATAAGATGGTAAATTTTAATAATTCTACAAACCAGGAGCTGTTGTTTAGAGCCTCTAAAGTCATTCTCCAAGTAGCTGCCAAACAACTGTAAACTCTTCCATTCATCAAGATTCTAGGAAAAATCCATCACAATATCTGATTAAAATTAATACTCGTAAATGTTCATGGGGCACTTGTTAACATTTTAATACCTTGAAGGGACAACCATCTAATTTCTCCCAACAGTATTGCTACTAAATCGAATACTACAGTCATGAGAATAAAGAAAATGATCCCCAACTAAAGAAGCTCTTGATTGTCAACAAATTCTCCTCACTATTACCATAGGAATCTACAGAAAATGGTGTACAGAATATTCATACTGATGTTGGAATGTTAAGGGTTAACCCCAGCCCAGCAAGATCAACAAAAGCAATTATGTCAGCAACAACTACAACAGAAGATATGGCAATAGTAATGATAATGAGAATAACAACAACAATAACAACAACAACAATAACAAACTTACCAAAAATTTACTAAGTTTCAAAACAAATTCCTTTCGTTTTGGTTTAATATTTGGTGACTTTCGAAGAGCTTCAGCAGACTGAGGACTGAGAAATAATGATATTCAATGTAATGCGCCAACGCAAAAAATTAGTGAGATTAAAAAAACAATCACCTGTCACATACTTGCTGAAGAATGAAACAGGAATAAAACCACAAATTAAGTGTACCTTGGTTCTTTATAGTCAGCGATTCCTAGCAGTAAACGATCCTTCTTCCGTTTAAGTTCTTCTCCTATCTGATCCTAAATTTAAAAAAATTTAGTTTTTTCCAATAATTCAACACTCAATTGCGCATTATTAAATTAAATTACGCTTGCGCAAAACATACTTAATAGCGAATTAAATTATACTACTGCAGCAACCTCATCAATCTGGATGCAAACACTTCGTATGAAGAGCCGAACAAATTGATCATGCTATGAAAGAAAGAAGGAGAGAGAGGAAGGAAGAAAGAAAGAGCGTAATAAGTGCGAGACGGAGCCAGCATCGCAGCAAAGCAAATCGAGATGATTTTGCAATTGTAAAACCTCGTCTTCGTACTGAACTTACAGGCTCTTGCAAGGAAGATCGTCCGGTTATAATGTGCCATAGCCCACGATTAGATCTGCCAGATAAAAACAAAACTATCCATTACTCTACTATACTATAAACGAAAGATCAGCCATCATTAGCAACAAGTTTATTTTAAAGCTTGTGATCGTTAAAGCTTCCTGTTCGTGTTCCGTTGAAAAAAATCTTGCCAACTTATCCGAAATCAAGCGATACTTACATTTCAATGGAAGTCATTTCAATGGATTACGACCGAAAATTATGAGCTAAGAAAGAATTCTTCGTTGGAATCTAGCATTAATTCTGTCTCTTTTTAAGCCTCGTGTGCAACCGCAATTACCGCCATTTTGGATTAAGGACTTGGCAGCCTCGCGATATGAACTTTACTTGTAGTGTAACATGACACAGAGCGTCCTCCCTCAATCTTAACTTAGCAAGTAAACTCTCTATCTGGTTATAGTTTCATACAAATGTGTTTGTTGGTGTAAGAGAGTCCACGTTCATGTTACGATGTCTCTTTCTACTTAATTCTCATAAACCTAGAGATCGCTTAGCAACAGTGCAATCGATGCTTGCGCCGCTAGTGATGTCACAATGACCTTCGAGGTCAGAGCGCGCGACCGTTGAAAAAAAAATAGCATAGTTGAAAACGTTTCATTTTTTCCTGCAATGAGTTCATGGCTTCAACACAAGGAGTTTTCGGACAAGTTATCCACTTTGTCTATACCTGGCTTCCGAAGACAACTGGGAATTATAAAAGAAAGAGAAAAGATTTCCGCCAGAGTAAAAAGCCTGAAAATATTTCTCAAAAAACCAGTTCTCCAATGCTAACCTTTATGAGAAGTTCGCAAGGCCTTCCAAGCACACCGAATGCCTCAAAGGTTTTGATTTTACGAGCTTTGCCGAACACATGCAAGGGACAGGAGGAGCTCTCGGAAGATTTATCTTCTTGCAATCTTCAGGTTGTTGGATACAAGTTTTTATCAAACGAAAAGAAAATGAGTAAACGATCAGCTCTAAAAAAATGGCTGCGACGAAAGGCCAATGATGTTTTCCCGAGAAATATATATTGTGATGGACAGTTTGGTAACGGTAGACATGTTCTCTGTTCAAGAGAGCTCTTTGAACGTTCACTGAAGCTAGATGGTAAGGCATTAATCAATTTTTTTGAACCGCAAACGAATCCTGCATGTAGAGAAATTTTTAGATTGAGTGTCAAAAATAATCCGAGACTGCATTGGTTTTGCCTTACTTTGCTCTGTGATTGGTCCTGAAAACTCGCGCCACTCTATCACTCAATCAGATGCGAAACTGAAAGCCCTCGCCACTTGATCGCCCGCGTTTTCCTGCGCTTTGGGTAGTTTGGTTACTTTGAGTTCACATTGGCTCTAAACTATATTTTCCTTTTTTCCTTTCTTTTGATAGGCCGTGTGGATTAGTTTCGTTTTGGTTTTACCACAATCAATCAATCAATCGATCAGATATGTTCTAGGGAAGGATGCGGTTGGGTTAGGTTATAAAGCAAATTAAAACCTCAAATTTTGTTGGTAAACATGCGAGTGTCAAGAACTGATGATAACCGAGGGGTGGGACAAGGATTGAACAGACCATCTTCCTTTATCAATGGAAGATACAGAGGGTGGCTCCGCTGGGGTTTGGAACCCACCCTGACTCATCGATACATAACGCGTTTTCAAAATGGCGGCTTCCTAGGAGAAATTTCTTAGAAACTTTTGAAAATGTCAAGATACTCTTTGGAATCTCAAACCGCGCGAGCTGTCATTATTTGACATGTGCTTTTTGATGGCGTAGATTAGAAACAATTTGGCTTCTGGTGCTTAGTTCTCTTTTAAATCATTTTCTCAATTAACTCCCCTCCAGATTCCAAACTCCAGGACATCCATCCCGGTCTCAGAGGGACGAGGAAGCTACCTTCACGGAGGTCATGGTCGCGAGAAACAAGGAACCAAACGATTAACGAAGAACTTGCCGACGGAATGAGAACAAGTGTTCTCGGCCTTAGCGAGTCAATCTCTGTTATACAAGTTAAGCCTTCTAGTGTGAAATAAACGTAGAGGTATTTTATTTCCTGGTGTGTTACAGTTATCTGACTAAAGTGAGGTCTGTTTCAAACTATGGCTCAGGCCTTTTCAATTCAACAAATTGAAAATTCAAATGGCCAAGTGGACAGATGCGGTTGCACTACATGTATTGAGGTTAGTGGCATAAATTCCGGATCATCGAGCCTCGTCCTCAAGTTCCTTTCTATTCCTCCCTCAAAGGGAGGCAGAGAGGATCTTAGGAGCGAGGCTACAGGTCGATCCGGTTGGAGTTCTAGCCAGGTTCATTGTGTTGTTTTTCTGAGAAAAAAATCCTTACAGGGGCCCTCCCAGCAGGGCCCTCTATGTATATTATCTAACAGACATCTAACAGGGCTCAAGATGACTGAAATCTAGTACTTAATCATGCAAACTTTACCTTCAAGGCGAACGAGAACGTAATAGTACAGTAGAGTTAACGGGCTCATAATTAAAGATGACACGGTCTGATTACACCTTTTATTTTACTCAACACTAAACTGTAAGACTACAATTGGTTGATTTAACAGAATTGGCAAATGTGCTACCGCTAGCTTGACATGTAAAGAAACAGAATGGCTCACTGAGCGTGGTGAAGATGTTATGTATTTGAAACAAGAAAAATTATGTTACGACCCCTTGTTTGTGTCCTTCGTGCAGAACCCTGTCAATAAGTTTATTTTTTTAAGAATCCAGGATTGTTCACCTGGGATTGAGATGTTTCTGACATCTACACTCGTTTTAAATAACTGTTCATGTTCCAAGTAACGTTGTATCTGCAAAACAAAAAAAGGGATTTGAAAATTTTGATACTACAAGATAATAATTTGCTGATTTTCGTGTAAACTCCATTTTACCAGTTTTAAAGTTTCACCCCGATGTTGACCCAGAGATTAAGGTACAGAATCAAATTTCGAAATGGAACAAACTTTTGTAACTCATTTTCAGACGATCAATGATAACAACATTTTACCCTTTTATTGTGCATGTGGATTTGGGAAACCGATTGTAAATCCTCAAAATTAAATCCGTGTACATAATAGGGGCTTAGTTATCCGGCTAAAATCTACAAGTTGCGCTTTCGAATTGTAAATGTATGAATCTTCTTTAATTCTAGCGGATGGAGCTGAACAAGTGAGAAACCCATATGTATGCGTTTTATTAGCGTTCAGGCATGAGACTCTGACACTCGCAAAATTAAAACTCCATCGTTAGCTGGACGAACAACAAAGTGCTTCCAAAGTCCAGCGTTTAAACATCACCCACCCGAAAAAATCTGCGTATCGCTGATCCACGAGGTATCTTTCACCTTTGTCCTTCATGAAGAGCTTAACCGCGTCAAGCTTCACACTACCCAGTGGAGTGTACCCAAGCTCCTTGGCGAGCCCCTGACCAGGTGAGTTTGGAACTATGGGATTGGTGTCTTCAACACAGATGTAGTCACCAGGCTCTGTGAACTCATCAAAGTACTCAAGCACACCGGTGACGTTGACATGAGCATCTTCAGTTATAAACCATGGGTGAGGAAGTTCCTGTGGAGGGAAGTAATCCATCATTGCTTAAATAAACATCGGAATGACTCAGTCGTAGTAATTTTCAGTGTTAGACGACCTTTGGAATCGTTTTTGTTCTGAAAAAGGGCCAACGCTTTAGAATTTCTCTGCGGTGGCCAACTCACATCTCTTGAAATACTCCTCCCTCCTTCCCCCCCCCCGCGCTGACCTACTGACACCACGGTTTCTCTAGAGACTTACGCCCTCGTTTATTGATTAGCTAAGACATGGTTTTATCGCGATCTTGGGCATTGATTGCCTAGACTCTATAAAATAAAGTGCAAGCGATCGGATCGAGTCCTACAACAAGGCCACCGCAAGGCCATCGATGACGACCCACCCGGACAATCAAGCCGATCAGGCTGAAAACTCTTACAAAGACGATCACATGATCGCCAGAATCGCCCCAGCCGTGGTTAAAACTCGAGCTAAGGAGACGATCCTAACGATCACATTGGAAACCAGGCTTCAGGACCTGAATGGAAGCTTGTAAGTTGACGGAGGGGACACAATATCACCAAAAGTAAAAATTCCTCTTTCACTAAGACAAGCTTCTTCGCCAACGAAAACTGACAACAACAAAAAAACTTAAGACCAATCAAAAATGGACATTTTGGCACAAATAGCGATGGACTTTCTCACCTGGAGTAATTCTGGAGGAAAACATTTGTCAATCTCAAGTGAATCCCCTTGAATGAAGGTAACATCCGGGTATGCTTTAGCGACTGGATCCAGTAAAGAAAGATCAATATCCATTGACAGAACGCGTGATGTGACACCTATCATTTTCATCATGTCCGCTGCCCACAAAGCTGAGCCGCCTTTGTAGGCTCCAAGCTCAATAACGGTTCTAGGCTTTAACTCCCAAAACAACTCCTGGACTGCTATAAGGTCGAGGCAGTCCTTCAGAACGGGAATTCCTCGCCATGAGGTCCAATATTTCCCTTAATAAGTAAAAATGTTTTCTTAGTTTTTACTTCATGCATTACTTATTCTTCAGCTACCAAATGAATGAAGATAACATCATTTATCTACATATCTCTGACACATTTCTCAGTTAAGCTGTCAGGGGTCTAACTTGGAATAACGGCACGGATAAATTCTAGGGGATAGGGGATAAAATCGACAGTATGTGATGTCTCTCACCAGCACATGTTCAAAAGCCTCCGTTGCACTTGCTTGTATCAACACTGGAAATATACATTGTCAGAATATTCCACTCTTGGAGCTCTTTTCCAAAGTCTCCAGTATATTGCCTACTTTTAAGGGCGTTTATGTATGATGACGAAAAAGGAATTAAAGTGTCCTTATTTCTTCAGTGAGAGCCATTTGTGAGGACGTCGTCTTATAATTATCAGTACTAATGAAGGAGACATAAGCCGAAGGACATCTCGACGTGAATCTTACCATGAGCTATTTTTAACATCATGTTTGTAGGCATATCACTCTTGTCCTGTCTGTCTTGAAAACGAGCATATCGCTGTTTTTGCGAAACTTCCTTATCGATGGCACTTTGGACTGGGTGATACTCTGCAGCTTCCATTTTCTCAACTGCTCTATGGTCCGCTAATCGATCTAAAGCTTTGGTAAATGTGTGGATGGCTCTAAACAAACATAGAACATGGCAAGAAATGGCTTAACAGGGAAGCGTTCGGGTAAATGCGGATCGGGCCTTCCATAAGATCATTTATATGTATTAAAGGGACAAAACGAAGATCTAGATGCTTTAAAATGCTATAATTCCATGACTCGCTCATGACTTTTCTTTAGTAAAATGTCTTAGGGCCATCATGGAGAATGCGGTAATTTATTTTAACAATTCACCGTAGTTGAATGAATTGCTATTGTTGTCTTTTGAATTCCACTTCCAATTTGATGTTAAAATAACGCGTTGATAAGGAACTCATAGGTAAGTAGCCCACGCAGTGCTAAATCCGACTTAATTTTAATCCTATTTACTCGTTCTTGCTTATTTATACATTACTTTGCTTAGTTACCCATACATTTATATACTTACCTGATTTTATATACCAACTATAAGCTTCATTAAGGGTTTTGTTCGCAATAGAGACAACATCGCGGGTCAAATTTATTTTCAAGAACCGCAAAACTACCAAAATTCTGCTCTTAGCTAACTTCTCTCTACACGATACTTGTCACCGGACGGAAATCTTCAAACGTCCTGTCTTCCTTCCTTTTGGCAGAACTTTCTTCGAACAACGAAACACGAATAAGAATATCACATTTCTGACTGAACCTTTAAAAAGCCTGCAGGTCTTTCCTCAGGGCAGGTCTTTCCTCAAGAAACAAAAATTTCATGTTAAGCTTTCCTTTTGACAAAATAACATAGCACGTCCTTCATTCTACGATCTTTGAAGAACTACATCGCCACACTTTTCAAAAAGTGTTTTTCTCTCACGGCCAGTTCTACTTGTGAATCGAATCGAGGTACAATGTCTATTTTATTTACCAACTATAAGCATAACTTAAGGTTTTGTTCGCAATAGAAACAACATCGCGAGTCAAATTTATTTTCACGAAAGAGGAAGCTTCCAAAATTATGTTAATAGCTAACTTCTCTCTACGTTATACTTGTCACCGGACGAAAATCTTCAAATATCCTGTCTTCCTGCCTTTTTGGCAGAAATTTCTTCGAGCAACGAAACGCGAATGAGAATATCATATCACATTTGTGACTGAACCTTAAAAAAGCTTTCTTCAGGCCAGGTGTTTCTTCAAGAAACAAAAATTTCATGTTATGTTTTTCTTTTGACAAAGTAACATGGCACGTCACCTCACGTTCTTTAAAGAACTCATCGCCACTGACCTTATGCTACCACGAAAACGCTGTGTGTACGCTTTTCGCACAAAAAACCTCCTAGAAATTTGTAGGCAGGAACAGTTTTTTGGCGCAACTTGGATCAACGGCAATCCTTACTATCACACCAAACTTCTATGCACCTCTAACCTGAAGCTTTACCCAAAAGTTATAGTTACCTCGGTTAGAATGGTCAAAAGCATGTCGTTTCGATCGAATTTTTTTAAGTGCCTATTATAGACAGGTTTTTGGGGGTGAAGTCATACACACAGAAGACGAGGGGCACGGATTGACATAATGTAAGGATATTTAAATAATGGTCCAACATGTGAAAACTGACAAAATAAGGATGCGCGCTAATTGACCAAAATGTGCAACTGAAGATGAAAATGAAGCATGCTCAATTCGAGGTACAATGATGCGTCAAATAATCTCGGGAAATTTTTTTATAAGAAATCGTTAATTCGTTTCAAATCATCGAATCATAGCAATCATAACTTCTTGAGAAATAAAAAAAAAAAAAAGAAAGGAAACATTAAAAGGAACACATACCCCTATCCTGACCTTCAGGCGATGAACACAAAGAAGCTCCGAAAGGTGTCCTAGATTTAAAGGGCACCTTGACAATCGGCTATTGTAGTTAGGTTCTCAGAGACTGACAACGTTTTGCTTACCCCGACAGGAAGCTGAAAAAATTCTTGAACAACGTGCAATCACGTAAAACCGGATTTGGCCACGTCAGCCACACCGAAAGGTTAAAAAATATAAAAATTTTACAATTTGATCTGATTAAACTGAAAACAGTAAAATATAAGAAAAAATATTCCGAGAAAGGAACTCCTAATAGGAATTTTCAATAGAGGGGATAGCGTGACAATCATTTTATACAGAAAGGAAGAGGTCATAGGTTCAGATCACGGCCTCACTTTCACTACTGCTTAAGCAGTGATCATCGCAGCGAAGATCACTTTCATATTCATTTCTTAAAAACCGAAGGTTACAGATATGATTTTCATATATTCACAGTCGTTAAAAGGATAGAATTGGTTCGCGTGGGTAAAAGGCATGTTCAAAGGTTGTCCCGTCCTCCTCCCACAGGACTTTCAACGAGTTTCACTCTAGGTAATTTTAATACTTCTGTTTATTGATCTGTTCAGCCACGAAATCAGGCAAGGTGCAATTTTCTCAAGCTAAAAAGTAACAAACCACTTAATCTGAAGGTGCCCATAAGTTTATCTTTCCACGACCAAAATACTTGGAAGCAGAAGCTGCCAATACAATAGCAGGCGACTGTTGCTGCGAAGTGAATCATTAACTACTAATTTGTTTCAAACTAGTTTTTTATTCTATGAATTGACCAAGCTTATTTTGAATGATTTCTATCATTCTTTCTTGAAACCCAGGAGAGACACGATGAATGACCTCTAAACGCGTTTGAGGAAACCGTTTGAGTTCCATGTAACATTATACCTGCCATACAAAAGCAAAAAAATCCACTGTCATAATCAAATATGAATCTTTGTTAGTCTGTTCACAGCCAATAAAATTTCTTTTAAATGTTATCCCAAAGCGAAAGAAACCCCGGGGGGGTGGGGGATTTAACGAGGGCTCCCGATGGGGGTGGGTGGTCGGAGACAAAGGAAATAGGCGGCCTGTGGAATAATTGTTGTCACTGAATTTATCGTTTCTCAAATAACGAAAAATTCTCAGGGACTAAAATGTCATTGATGTGAGATCGATCCAAAATATGAACGAGATGGGGAAATAGTCTTCGCAATTCTTAGTAAAGGTTGTTCCACCCGGTTTTCCAGATCCTGCATGATCGTCTTTCAGACCAAACATCATTTTTCATACCCGTCTTCATCCTTAATAGCGTTTGAAATTTATTTCCGTTTCCGAACCTGGATTACGAGGGCAACAGCTTGAGGATTTGTTCCAAAAATCTATCACGTGTTTTACAGCTTAGTTAAGCTTTGCACCATGTGAAATGTAGGATGTAGAAAACACGTTAAGGCCAAAATCCTCCGACCCTCCCCCTCACCTCAGGTGAAAAATAATAATCGGTCCCTTATCGCCAGGTTTTTCTTGTAGCTATTGCCTTTAATTTGAAGCTGATTTTTAATACGTAAACTCAACACTCACCCAAAGAGGTCCGTATATAGTTGGTCAACAAGGTATCTCTCTGAATGAGTTTTCATAAATTCCTTTAACTTATCAAGTTTCGAATGTCCAAACGGAGTATACCCAAGCTCTTTGATTAGTCCCTGGCCAGGCCGGTTTGGTGCTGATGGATTAGTATCTTCTACACAGATGTAGTCACCAGGCTCCGTAAATTTGTCAAAGTATTTCAGTACTCCAACTATATTAATATGCACGTCTTCGGTAATGAACCAAGGATGTGGGAGAGTCTGTGGGTGAAAGTTACCTAGGCTCAACTGCGGTTTCTCTTACAGTTAAGCTTTGTTAGAGATAGATCATCAAATTCAGTAAAATATCAACAACAGTCTCCGTTTGGCCAGAAAGTATGCTCGGATATCGTCTGTTCTCAGACGCGAGCAGTATTGCGAGAGCGAAGCTCGAGGAGACTTTTGAGCTACGAGGAACAGATAATGTCCATGGACAAATCTACGATTATATTTTCGCACCAAATGAAGGTTCCTTTGTTTGGCATCTGTCAAATCTTTTTTGGTACGACTTCAAAAACAAACAAATATGTCCCTTCTTCTGTAACAACAGAAAAACCCTCTCTAATCGTGAATTGAATTCATAACGAAGACTTGATCGTATTGGACATAAGAAATATATCTAAAAATTAGCGAATCTCATCTGAGAAATATCACCGGATATTCCCAAGTTGATGGATGATAATTGGCAATATGTTTTCTTACCTGAAGCAATTCTGGAGGGAAGTATTTTTCGATTTCACTCGAATTTCCTTCAATGAAAGTTACATCAGGGCATTCCTTGGCGACTGGATCCAGAGGAGAAAGATCAATGTCCATAGAAAAGACATGTGACTTCACACATAAAATTTTCAGCATATGTGCTGACCACAAGGCTGATCCACCCTTCCATGCGCCAAGCTCGATGACTGTCTGAGGCTTCTCTTCCCAAAATAACTTCTGCACTGTTGCGAAGAATGGCACTCCTTTCCAGGCATTCAAATACTTTCCTTCAAAGAACAACGCTCATTAACTACTCTAACCTGTTGGCAAGCCCTTATGTTAAGCGCTGCAGGACCAGAATTTCTCTGCCCGCGGGAAGATATGATACGAGTCGGGAAGAGGTTTACCGGGGGTCTGGCGCTATCAGTGCCAAGGTCTTTTGCCTGCTTGCGTTGCAAGAGGCCTTACACTTTCTCGCGGGCGCAGAAATGCTCGTCCCGAAGCGTTAATAACGAGGGTCTCACAGGCTAGAATTACTCTTTCTCTAGTCTCCTTCACAGTCGTTCTAAGGAATGTCACGCAATGCTTCACGATGTTAGCCCCCCTTCCCCCCCTCCCGCCCCGTTCTCTTGGGGGACGTGTTGCGTGAAAACCTAACGAACGACTGCAAACGAGACAACTCTTACTTTATCAATTTTAAAAGAAACAACTTGAACATATACACTTCTGTGCGTCCTAGATGGTCACGCCTTCTCAGTCCTTTGCAGCCATGAATAATTGTTCCGTTCTAGTACTAGTTTACAGAACTACGACCAGCTCTTCTGCTCAACACGGTCAAAATAAAATTGTCTTTGACTGTCATTAATTACGTGCGTTCTATGGTCATGAGCATGTGCGTAAGTCCTTTGCAACCTGGCTTTGCGGGAAGTATTGTGCTTCAATTAGATTTTTTCTTCTGGGCCTGTATAGGTCTCTTAGCTTTGATTTTCTCTTGGGGTGGGGGCATGAACATCAATCTTACCATGTGCTATTTTCAACATCATGTCAGATGACATGTCACTCGTGTCTAGTCTTTCCTAAAATCGGACACATCGTTGTCTGCTGGAAATCTCCTTCATGATGACTGGTCAGATGGCACGGTAATCGAGGTTATCCATTTTCTCTATTTCAAGGGCTGCACCTGTCGAAAAACGGATAACTGTTTCTCTGCGATGTTTCAATGAGTGAAAGAATCCCTTCCTCATCATTATCTTGTCACAAAATACTCTTAAAATATCACCAGGCATTATCTAAGCGACGAAAATACGCACGGGCTCATGAACTAATCAAAAGCACCTGTGGAAAAACGGATAACTGCGTCTCTGTAATAGTCCATTTTAAAGTTGCACGCTTGCTTGCCAAGCCTTTTAACAGGATTGAGGCTAAGGGCGACTTGTTGTGCAACAAACCTTGCTGCTTCTCAAATGTAAATTGCCTTGCTATTATGAACTTGTACAAAACCGGATAATTGCTCTTCTGCAATTTATGAATGAGTGAAAAACTTGATTCTTCATCATTATTGTGCGACGAAATATTGTTGGAACGTTGCAGGTATAAATTACCGGCCCATATTTAAGCGTCGAACATACACAGGTGCACCTGAAATGATCACAATGAGCGTGCTACTAATGATCTAAAAATAATACGGGCCTTGTCTTCTCATTACCTGTTTGCTGGATAGTGTATTGATATTGTAGGGAGAAGCTACGTACGTGTTAATTATTTCCTGGAGCTGGAAGGTTAAGCATTGAAATGTGTTCCACGGAAAGTGAGACACTTCATAGTCGTTCTCTCAAAGTAACTTTTACAATACCTCGGTTACCAGGTAGATATATCCCAGCCGTTCTTGTAGATCACTAGGATGTTGCTTATGGTCTGAATCGCTCAGCTCACACAAGGATCTTCCTCCACTCTGGTCACCATAGTTGTAAGACAAACAGCGGTTGTCAAGGTAACATTCGATTTCACAGACGTCTGGGCTTCCGACTGAAATGTTCTTGATCACTTGATTTACGAGAGCTTTCCCTTCCCTGAGTGAGACGAACTGGAGCACCCTGCAACCTTGAACTGAAAGATTAGGCAAAGTTATCTAAGATGTTGATAGAAAAATAAAAGAATTGTTTGATCGGTCATCTCTTAATTGTGAAATGCAAACGTTGACATTTCGTAATAACATTCATAAATAATCATACGAATTTGTCAGCGTTATCTTTACTCGTTTGAATAAACGTCTGTTATCAAATCAAAGGCTCTGTGAGCCAACTCATTCATATTATTTGAGGGATGAGAATGAGTTTTTGTGTGTAATTGCACTTCGTGATTTGTTTCAGTTTTGCCTAATTTTATTGAAATACATAAATAATATGAACGTGTGCTGTGTGATACATTGCTATGAGCTTCATATAAGTATGCCGTGTGCATGGATCTTCATAACTGTGGGCTGAAAATGGGTAGGGGTGGTTCATTGCCGGGTTAGGTGGAAGGATACGGTAATGCCCACAGGGAACTAGCTCTTTGGGGCTTTGGAGTGATGCATTTCACTGAAAGTGAGCAGAAGTGAAACATACCACCATTTGTTTGCTTTCCTTGCAGTTTCACAAATTCTTGGAACCTCTGGTTAGTTTCTTAACAACAGAGGACTGGGTAGTAGAACAAAGCAAGTGGGCCAGTGATGCATAAAAGGATTGCGCTATAAATTGGCGCTTGCAACAGTGCCCACTATTAAAATCCTTCATTTTACGTCTAGCCCCTCCCATAACTTTTCTCATGGTTGAACAACAACGACAAAAACAACTTGCGATGAACAACAATAACATTCTGAGGAATGGAGGAGTGTTGTGAGGATCAGAAACCCCACATACCTTCTTTGCCTTAAGTGGCATTATTGACAGAGTATATTTACTTCTTTACCTTCATTTACAAAATGCTTTTGTCCTCTTTGATCGCAAGAACAACTTGTGGTGGGGTGTGCCACCCGCTTATTCAAACACTTCCCCATTTTAGACCAAAATATGCGATTTTCCTTACCCAATTTCAAACCAAACTCTTAAAAATGGCAAAAATCTATACCCTATTTCAAACAAGCAGGCAAAAAATATCCAATTTCAGACCAAAATGTCCAAAATCCACACCCGTTTTCAGACCAAAACGGCTAAAAAACCATAATGTTGGGGGCAGCACATCTATATAACTTATAATAAGGGAGTACCCCCCGGGAAGTGGCGTATTTAAATCATAGCAACAGCAACCGTGAGGATGATAAAGTATATTTAGTTTTTTATCGTTATTACTCGGGCTTTCCAAAGGAAACGCCCGAGGTATAAATTCGGCTTCGTTTTCATTGTTTTTTATTTTGTTTTGTTTTGTTTTTTTTGCGTTCAGTCACGAAACGCATGCGTGAAAAGTAAGCGTATGCGTAGAATGAACCCTAGAGCGCATTTTTTAAAGCAATGGCTGCCTTCGTGGACAACCCCTGCTTGATGTACGCAAAAGAAATTCGATGGCTATTACGCTCAATATACACACAAAGTCACACACCGTTCGCGGTAGACCCACACTAAAACTTGTGGAGCGTTTTGGGAACGGGTTGGTCCGCGAACTTTACGAGAGATCAATTTGTGAGCGATCCTTTGCGAGTGGACCTTCTATCGAGAAATATCAAGCGAAACCTGCTATATCAAACGAGCTATCTCATATTATGTTTACATGTAAAACACAACCGTGTATTTAGAAGTGATCGAGAACCCAGTAGAATACCAGAAGCTACTCTGAAACGTCTCAAAAGAAAGGGCAGAAAACTGAAGTAATTTGTTTATGAGCGTATTCGACCAAGCATACCGAAGTCCTCTTGGCTACATCGTTATGTGAAGGTTAGAAGAGTTACAAGGAATGTTTGTAAGCTTCATGCGAAGAGGGTAAGATTAAATAAAGTTACACAACACGAGAAGAAGTATTTGTTGAATTGTTCTGTGATAGCCACTTGGCTCCTAAATTCTTCAAAGTGGTAGCCAATTCAAAAAAAGTTGGTCGCCATTTTCAAAGACAAACAAAACCTTTTTTTACGCTGTCAACGTTTAAGATAGACCCTCCAAAATTAATTTAGGGAAAAGATCTCTAACGTTCTACAAAGTGGACTCTAGGATGGATGATATACAACTTTCAAGCTCACCTAAATCCAAGATGGCTTCTAGTTATCGATTGAGATACTTGATCTGAGTTTTGGAAACAAACTTAACGAGGAAGTTTGCCGCGGATTTATCTTTACAAATCTTTTTGATTCACTATATCTCTCGGTGAGGTTGTGATGAAACATTCTAGTCGCCAATTTGGCGACTAATTTTCAAGGTTTGGTCGCCAAAGGGAAAAATTTAGTCGCAATGGCGCCTGTATTAGGCGCAATTTCACGCCCTGTATATCAAAGGATAATTAAATTGAAGTATAGAGCAAGGCGGTATTTATCAATGTTTTCTTGTAATAGACCCACGTGTCTTTATAAGAGTCAGACACACGCATCAAAATATTGTAAATTTCAACTGAGTTCAGATATAGAGAAAAACCCTGGTCCTACTCCAATGTACATTGACCCTAGCAAAATAATAACGGCACCACATAGCCAAGCTAATGAGTTGGTATCTGGACAAAATTCAGGACAACACTGTGTTGATTTCCAATAACAAACAAGGAATCAGTTCTGCTAATGATCTCGTGTCAACAATGAATATTGGAAATCAGTTGTATTCAAGTTTGTCTCAGCTAACCAGACAATCATTTTTAAAGTAGACAGAATTACCCGCACTTTTAAATGTGTTCGAGACCGACTATGAACTTCAATACAGTGAAAGCTATACTGGTACTATTCATTAAGACGCTACAATACAAGAATATCAGTACTGTACCTCCTTGGATAGAGCCTTTCAATCACTTATATCTGAAAATTTCAACAATTTTGTATTGACAATAGGATGTACTGCAGTTGCTATCTATTGTAAAGGTAATGTGGGCTTGAAAATATTCAATGCTCATGCAAGGGATATTTATGGTAGAAGCCATCCTCAAGGTACATGTGCACTGCTTGAAGTATCATCACTGAATAGCTTAGTACATTATTTTCAAAGTATATATAACAATGATATATTTGAGTTGAAAGGGGTTAACATTAATAAAATTCAAAATAGTACCGTTTTTCAGAGTCATGCCTGTGAAACCAGAAAGTTAAATGTGAGTTGTGCTGTGGCCGTCTATTCACTCCGCTACTCCGTAATAAAATCATGTAGTTATTGGAATTCAAACACCCTATCTAATGTTATTCAGTATGGCAAAAGATTATATGAAAATTCATCTTTAAACAAGTATTTACCATCAGACGATTTGCCAAAAACTGTCGATGTTTGTGGAACTGAAGTAAGTTTAGATCTTAAAAGTGATTACAGTGAAGGAATACTGTCTGATTCAGTTCTGATTCTTAAAAATCTTGTAAGAAATAATAGTGAATGCACGGGGTAACAACATGGAAGTCCAAAATGAAGAAGAAGAGGAAGACCCTTTAAATGAGCATTGGTCACCTGCCAATGAGACATGTCTACAGTCAGTCATTCCAGATTACCCTATAGTTACTGAAGAACATAACTCCAATAACTCTACAGGTAGAGAAATTTACAATATAGCCACCAGAGAAAACACATCCACTGTCTTTCATGACTGATAAACAATGTGAAGAAATTGCATTTCCAGTACAATTTCCTAATGGTAAATTTGGTTACAATGCTGAAAGAGATGCTAAATTATCACCAGTAAAATACTTTAATGCCAAACTGTTGCACTATAGTGGGCGGTTTGCTACAAATCCAGAGTACCTTTTCTTTGCACAGTTTATTATTGAGTAGAAAAAAGTATCTGACAGCATTTCATTTCTAATGGCAAAAACATGAGATCTTTAAACACTCAGCAATGCCAGGCATACAACATAGTACTATCATGATGTAGAAACAAGGTTAAAAACATGAACAGCTTAAAACCAGTGCATGTACAGCTAATCCATTTGTTTATAACAGGAGGTGCAGGTGCAAGCAAATCCCACCTTACTAAAGCAATATATCATACTGCTGCAAAGACTTTTAGGCATGGATTTACAAATCCTAAAAACCAATTGTGCTATTAATAGCTCCAACAGGAGTAGCTGCCATCAATATCAATGGTACGACGATACATACTGCTTTAGCAATTCCTAAAGAAGCAGGTGACAATCTTCCACCAATATCGGACCAAAAGAGAACATAAATAAGAATGGCTCTATCAAATTTAAAACTAATAATCATTGATGAAATCTCTATGGTATCAAACACCACTTTACTGCATATCCACCAATGACTGAAATAAAATTTTGTCACACCAAACAACCAACTGTTTGTAAGCCTAAGTGTTATTGATGTAGGTGATTTATATCAACTTCCACTGATCCGTAGGAGGCCTATATTTGATGAATTCAAAAATCATGTTCACAACTTAAGCCATCCTTGGTCAGTTTTTCAAATGATGGGTTAACAGAAATTATGAGACAAAAAATGACCAACCATTTACAGAGTTACTAAATAAATTCAGAACTGCAACACACACTAAAGGTGATATGAAATGCATTCAGTCAAGATTTGTCAACCCAACAAATACCGTTACCCAACACATGCATTGCATATCTTTGCTGAAAATGCACCTGTTGACATGCATAATAATGAGCACCTTGACCATTTAACAACATATCTCTATACTTTTAAGGCTACAGACCAATATCCACCAAATTTTCCAAAGCAAGATGATATTCTGCATGCAATTGACAGAAACGAAGCCATTGTACTACTTATGTTAGATTTATCTGCTGCATTTGACACTGTGTCTCATGAAATACTACTAGATAGGCTGTCTGAATGTTATGGTATAACAGGGTCTGTACTGAAATGGTTTGCATCCTACCTATCATCTCGTACACAATTTGTTCAAATTGAATGCTCAAGATCTTCGTTATGTGAACTTAATTGTGGTGTACCACAGGGTCTGTCCTTGGGCCTCTGTTATACCAGCCACTTCACCAGTGGCTGGTATCATAAAGAGACACAATCTTATGTACCATCTCTATGCTGATGACACTCAGCTTTATGTGTCATTTAAATTAGGAAGTGATGACCTTCTCTCCTCAGTAAAATCTAGAATTGAAATATCTGTACAGGAAATCAACAATTGGATGATTGTTAATGGTCTTAAGCTAAATGAGGAAAAAACCGAGCTGCTTCTACTAAGTTCACGTTATTAACCCAGTCCCTCATTGGAATTTGTTCCGGTGTTGGGGGTGAAACTATTCAACCATCCTCTTCTGTTCACAATCTTGGAGTGATACTCAATCCCAGTTCTGATATGGAAGACCACATTAAAAAGATATGCAAAACATGTCATTTCCATCGAACTAATATTAGTAAGATTAGAACACATTTGGGTCGTGAATCTGCTGAAGCAATTATTCATGCTTTTGTGACCACTAACTTGGACTATTGTAAGGCAATTCTACATGGATTACCTAAAGCTCTCTTCAACCGCCTACAGCTAGTTCAGAATAGGGCAGCGTGCATTGTAACATTCACAAAGAAGTATGAACATATAACTCCCATTTTAATAGATTTACATTGGTTGCTCGTTGAATACTGTATTACTTATAAAATCTTATTGTTAGTATATAAGACTATCAATGGACTTTCACCAAGTTATATATCCAATTTGCTCAGCTTTTGTACCAGCTCCTACTCTTTGCGTTCTTGTTCGAATAAGTTACTTCAAGTCCCAAGATCTAAGCTTAAGTCTAACGGTGATCAAAGATTTTCTATTGCAGGACCTAAATTATGGAACAGCATACCCGCATCTTTAAGAAATGCTGATTCCTTTTGATTTGTAAATATATTTCTATTTAGTTTTCATGCTTATATATGTAGTTGTTAGATTTTTTAGTGTTTTTTAATACATTTTGTGATATTGTTAAGCACCTAGAGCAATTAGTGATATAGACGCGATATAAATAAAGTTATTATTATTATTATTATGAAGCAAGACCTTGACAGAGTATTAGCTGGGGGAAGATCAGAAACAGGAGGTCTTGACTCTGTAATCTTGGCAAAAGGAAATGCTCAAGTGATGCTTACTACAAACATAGATGTAAATGATAGACTTATTGATGAACAAATGGGTGCTATTAAAAAAATTGGCATAAATCACACCACACAAAAACCAGTTGTTATTTACATCAACTTTGAAGACTCTCAAGCTAGAATAAAAGCTACAGAAAAGTGTAAAGATAAATATGCCAGAGAAAATGGAGTTGTGCCAATTCAACCTAAACTTGCTAGAATAAAGGTTAGACCAGGAAAACCATCTTCACCAGAGATACAAAGACTACAATTCCCTATCACACTAGCATGGGCATGCACTGTACACAAAGTTCAGGGATTGACATTAAATGAGATTGTAGTTAGCTTTGACCTCAATAGGCAAAATCATCTCAACTATAAGCAGATTTATGTAGCCTTACGCCAAGCAACTTCTTTACAAGGATTGCATGTGATTGAACAAATAGAAAACAAACACGTACAAGCAAATCTGAGAGTAGAAGCAGAATACCACAGAATGAGACAGCAAGAAAATGCTTACTCCAATTTTACGTTCTTCCACATCAGATGCACATCTTCAAAACCCCAAAAGTATACCTCTTAAATGCACTGTCCCTAACAAAACATAGTATTGACATCAAGCATGATGCATCTCTCACAAAATGTGATATTTTAGCACTGACAGAAACTCAGCTTTTACTCCACCACTCTGATGATACTATCAAACAAACTTTGCATCCTTATGAACTGCATAGACAAGAACACCCTTCTGATAAATTTTCCAGTTTAGCTATTTTTACTTAAGACAATATCAATATAATGTAAACCCACTATGTTTCAGTTATCAATGGTTTAATGTTTAATGTATTTAACCCCAACACTAACAGAATGATAAGATTCCTTTTAACATATAGAAAAAACAACTCAAACATTACCCAATATGTTGACAACCTCAACAATATTCTTCAAAGAAATACCATTGATATCATATTAGGAGACTTCAACATCAACAACTTTAATCAAGTACCTATTTCACCACTCAAAATTCTTATTCAAAATATTAACAAGAACAGATCATCCAAGAAACTGAAGAAAGAACATTGAACCTCATGTTATAGCTTATGAATAATTCCATGGTTAGACTTATTTGACGTTGTTTCCGATCAATACACAGGAAAAGAACACTGCATTGATACAAAATATTGAAACATCTCCATTGTTTTGTTACAGTTTTGTTATACGTAATTCCTAAAATTGATGCTCTACCATAGAGCACTCACTCTAGCTATATAAAATTGCAGTGGTTTCAGAGATTTTTCTATTAAAAACAATATGAACTATCGAACAGTAATATTGCTTCAATCTACCGACTTCTGACAACTCCCCTTGGGTGAAAAATTTGGCAACAAACTACGACTCGGTACCAATAATAGATAAAAAATTACCTTCTCCTTGCAGTTAAAGGCAAATACATTACCTAATCAGGGTTTGTAAAGCCTTGAAAGTCCTTGAAGATGCTTGAATTTAAAAATAAAAATTCAAGGCCTTGAAAGTACTTGAATTTGAGGACTAGGGCTTTTGCAATGCTTTTTCTTTGGCAATTTTCAAGTTAAAAATTACAGTGCTCAATTAACATTGAAGATGATAAAATTGTAAATTTAGTTCTCTACCTTCATTGTCTTAATTTCTTTGTCCTCTTTCATCGCAAGAATTACTCATGACCAACAACAACAACAATGACTGGCTATCAACAACAATAATATTTTCAGGAATAGAGAAGTGTTGTGAGGATCAGAAAACCCACCTACTTCTTTGCCTTAAATGGCATTATTAAATTATAGCAAAAGCAACAGTGAGGATGACAAATTATGTTTAGTTCTTTACCGTCATTGTCCTAATTTCTTTGTCCTCTTTGATCGCAAGAATAGGGACCTTTAGATCCGACTCCGAGTACGACTACGAGTATGAGATTTCCAATTACTGAGCAATGTGCATGCGTCATGACCGTGACACTGTCACGTAGAGCTAAAAACTCGTAGCCCTCCTTTCGTTGACAACGAGATTTTTGTGAGAAGTCGTAGCCAGAGGACGAGATTTCTAAGGTAGGTTTTATCACTTTCAGAATAACCCAATTTCTTTGATAAATTTATTGAGTTAAAAGTAATCTATAAGGGATATTGTTAGATAAGAATAAGTGTTTCTGGCACGAAATTTGAACAGGAAAACAAACTTGCATGTGGCTATCTGAAGACCAAATTATTCAGGATTATTGAGCTGCCTCACATAGATTTATCAGCATGAAGTGTTCCAATTTCGTCAAATGGCTACCGTTTTATAAATTAATTCATTCAGGGTCTGCTCTTTCTTATTTCAGAAACTTGGTTTCTGATGTTATTCTATGTTTTTGGGGGGTAACCAAAGTTTGGAAAACGTATAAGCTTACATGAAAAACAACTTGAATGATATCAATTATGAAGAAAAAGAAATTTAGCTTATTTGTTGCTGTGTATTTCAGCTTATTTTAAAATATTAAAAACGCTTTGAGTTTAGTGCTGTATTTTCGAACTTATCTGTTTACAAGCCTGTTACTTTTAAGTGAACTTTTTAAAAATGTCTTCATTCAACATTTTTGTCAGTCTACAATCAAAGCATTTCTAATCTAATCGTACAGGAAAAGAAATATAGAAACTAAATTCTTGCTGCGTGGAAAACAATACAGGCTGGTTGGTTGGTGTGGGTTTCCTCTGCTCTGTGCTTTAAATATTCTGCAATATTTGCCTATCTCAATTGTCATGTTTAAAATTAAATTATTCATTATAACTTGCGATTAACAACAACAACAATAACTTTCTATCAACAACAATAACTTTCCGAGGAATAGAAAAGTCTTGTGAGGATCAGAAAAGCCGCAAACTTCTTTGCCTAAATGGCATTATTAAATGTTAGCAACAGCGACAGTTAGGATGACAAAGTATTGTTTATCTTCATTAAGTTAATTTTTTGTTCTCCATGAAAATTTCAAATGAGATTTGTTTACTAAGAGAAGAGTTTGGACTATTAATTTCCTTGACATGTTAGTTACCTGCACTACTTGCTCATTCGTCTGGTCACCTTAATTATCAGTATCTTCAGAGTTTGTCATCAAGTCCTCCGCTTGTGTCTCGTGTTGAGATTCATTGGACTTCGCATGTCCCTGAGATTGACAAATGAACGAGCGAAGCTCACCAGCAATGAAGTATAAACTGGACTTAATGAACTTCGTAACGTTGTTTACAAATGAAATAATGTGACTGATACCCATTTATGAAGGAGGCTTTATTTCGTATTTTGATGCGGTATTGTTTCCCAGTTTGATAGCGGTTTATACAGCAATTGAACGCAGCAACCGTCAAGTCTGATCGAATTGGGAGCTCTATAAAGGTTTTGGTGTGAGTGTAGGCCGCTTTGATTGATGTGTGCGCTATATGCTTTAGAACTCAGGTATTTAAAGCACAATAAAGTAATTGTTACTCACCCAAAAGGACGGCAAAACAGCTAGTAGTAGAATTCCTCGAGAAATGGCAGCCATGAGAGAACGTGATCCAGCATGCATTGCGAGCCACACCGAATTTGATTTCCGCCTACGCTAATTTAATTTCAATTTGATTTCCGTCTACGCAATTAAATCTCCACGCAATTAATTTGCCACATTCACTACGCTGCGCGCATATGAATGAGTTAAGAACTTTTCAAATTCAGTCGCAAATACAACCTTGATCATATGATTCATGAGAGCTTTTTCATCAATGAGTGCTCTGCAATGATCTTAAAGATAAGGAAATATTTCAGTTTAAACACAATAATTACAGGGCTATAAAACGTACAATTAATTTTTCATTCAGTACCAAAAAAAATATTTAATTCAAATGGAAATGAAAGGGAAATTTTATTTTCCTTCATTTTTCTAAAAATGCAACGTCAGCACTTTTTTTTTCAGATTTCAAACCTAATTGTCTCAGTATATTCCGTAGCTACTCCCAATTTTTTTTTTTTTTTTTTTTTGGATTTTGATAGCCCTTGATAAATCTATTTTGCTTGTATAGTCATTTGCCGGACAAAATTAAATCCTAATTAATCGCAGGCACCATCCTTAAATTAAATGGGGGGGTGAGGGCAGGTAGAGCCATACATTATCGGCTATTATTTCAATACTTATTACCAGACACTTTTTCCATTCTTTTTTTTGAGTTTTAACTTGATGAAATATTGTTTTACGGGTAAAGGGGTTGTAGCGGGGTGAGTCATTTGGCAAATAAGCTGTCTTCTTATGTTTTCTTTTTCATGTTTAACAAAAGATTCCAGGCTGTGCTAGAGTGATGGCACTTAATTCACGCAAGAAAACCAATTGTTTATTTTTATTTTCACCAAAAGAAAACAAAAAGTAACTACCAAAGCAAGTTTTCAGATATAAGCGACTTGGAGGCTCTTTGTAAAGAGGTACAGTACTGATATCCCT